AATCATCCAGATCTCAGCCCGAGCATCGCACTCTCATCCAATCTCCTCGTTCGCTTTCGTCAAGTCATCTCCGTGACCATAGATACGGCAAATTGTTGTCACGGTCATTATGACGTGGGGCATATCCCGCCATTTTATTTTGTCAATGATCACAGTTACGTCTCGTCCACGGTCATCATGATACCCCTGGTCCACGTCATCGCCGTTTTCGCACAATTGCTCATGACCGTTGCATCGTATCGGCGATATATCCTCAGACGTCCCACAGTTTCTATGCCAGATTAAATACTCTGTGCCGGATGTAATTATTGCACGACGGACATAATTCCGTGTCACTTTCCCTCGCTTCGCTTCATCTGTACCTATGTCCTTGTTTTGCAGTTTCATTTTCCTAGGCTATGAATACAGATCAGGATTTGAAGCGATCAGCCGATATCATGATCGCCGCGGGCGCTGTGTGCTGTCAGTGCCGCACTGAGTCTCAAGCTGTGAAACATTGATGGTCGTATATTTCACTAGCGCACTTGATGCGAAATATTAACGATGCCGCAGTGATAGAACGAGATGAAGACCGGTAAGCACAAAGAGACTGAGATTGAGACCGCACATGAGACCGAGACCAGAAACCAAGACCATAAGCGTTAAGAGAGAAATCAGTTCTACAAGGGGAAGAACTTGAAGCCGAGACGAGAGACCAAGACTACAGTGACGAGAGAGGACATGGGAACCCCAAGACGGGAAGAGAGATCGGGACGAGACATATCCTAGAAAAGGCAAGACATAGCATATGGCTAAAGGGTGGGAGGGATCAAGCCATGGAGACATATGCTGCGCACAACGCCCACCAAAGTGGGAATGGGAATGTATTGTTCAGGAACTGATGCGTCCGATGAACCATTGCGTGTCGTCTGTCCGAGTTATCGACGACGACGAAAGTGCGCTCGTGTAGGTGTGTGACGCTGAAGGGAGCATAACTCGGCGAGGGCAAAGAAGCACAGAGATAAGTAAAGCCTACCTCCCATGGCAATCCTTCCCGTCGTTTCGTGCGATGTCCGGATGAAGCTCAAGTGAAGCGGACCTTAGGACAGCAGAATCAACGAAAGGACGCACAGTCCGTCGATCGACTCGGGCCAGCACACTTCACGACGACAGTGCTACCAAATTACCGCGATGACCTAGGAATCACTCCCTTCGTTCAATCTCCTGTCGTTGCAGACGGCGAGCTCCGAAGCTCGAGCAACTGTCGGCCATGACCGGTGCGACACGATATCGTGATCCAAGACCGCATCATAAGGAGAGCGTCCCACACGAACGATGCGAGAGCAGAGGAAGAGGCGAGGGCAATCCACTGGGAGATACAATTCGAAGATGTTATGGCGGAAGGGTACAGTGTGACCGAGGCAGAGAAATCGAGAAGGGGCGATATCGACAACCTACAAAGGATCCTCAGCAAATTAAAGGAGTGCAAATGGTACGAGAACTTACTAGGGACGATTGAATACGATCAAGGCCCTGCAGAAGCTTGATGGACGAAAGCAAAGAAAAGAGACCCTGAGAGCGGCTTGCTGGACTTCCCCATGGTGCCCTACATCGGAAAGGAAGACCGAAAGAGCGATGCTCGTATCGGGCGATGCCGATAGACTGCGCACGATGTCGAGCAGACAGTGGCGGGTGAGTGAGTGGGGTAGAGAGGAGTGTGACCCGCGACTTCGCGATCCGAATGAATGTCTTGTAGGCTATGAGACCCTAAGCGATGGGAACGCCATCGTCGCTGAAGAGCCATAAGGTTGCTCACCGTGACGGCCGCGCCGAGCAACACGTGAGGCATGCGTCGCCCTCCTGGTTGGAAGGTTCGGGGTGAGGGGCGCGGAGAGTACTGTGTTGCACTCGTCCGGGACGGAAGCTACTGGTGGAGCGTCATCAGGGGCACGGTCTTTGGCGCTGCGGGGAGACGAGGATGAGGAGGCTTGATTTTGCTTGCCGACGGAGCGTAGGCCGAAGATGAACGTACCGGTGAAGGTGGACACAGACGCGCATGTTAGCGTGAAGGCGATAGCCGAATTATCGTCCGAGACTATGGTGCACGCGCTGAATGTAGTCTGACCCGTCACGTCGACCTCGAAGATGAATACCTCCGAGTCGTCGTCGCAGACTGTAAAACGCATGCTGACCATAGTTGGGTCCGCAACGCTAAGCTGTATGGCTGAGATGAGCGGACAGCGTTCCGAGGGCAAAAGGAATAATGTAAACGCACTAGTAAGACAAAGGCTGCATTCTGCTAACAAGTGATATCCTGCCAGATGGAATGGCTCTGACTTGGTCGTGGGTTCACATTTCGATAACGCACGCATAAAGTTGAGTGGCAGTCCCAAGATGAAGATATATAACAGATGCAAAGCGGAGTCCTTCATTGACAAGCTTTCAGCGATACAGCACCTCAAACAAACCGTACGCATACCTACTTGCTGTCGAGCCCAAGGATAGATGGCGCAGAAATATATAGAGCAGGACGAGGGTATGAGAGTGAGCCACCGAGCGATGATCGATGAGATCTGAGATCTTAGCGCCACCTCAAGGAGCGCCGGCGACCGTCTGTGGCCGAGTCTGTCCAACTTGTCGAAGAGCAAGATCGAGTCGGAGCACGAGAGAGACCGCTCATGCTCGCCGACACCGCAAGCTGCGCAGAGACGCAGGAACAGCAGGAAGGCTGCAAAGATACGAGAAGGAGTGCCCAGCGGAGGCGAAGAGATGCGAGCTGGAGAGGCTGAAGCGGCACGCGGAGAATACGGATAGAGTACGTTTCAAAGGCGCGTCCGTGCGTTGCTTTGGAGACAGTCTCGTGCTGATGGACTGCAGGCCGCGGGAGCATGTTGAAGTATGTCGATCCGGATTTGCACACGAGATGACCGAGAAGGTCTTTGGCTACAATGCAGAGGCGATAGTCACGAATCGTTCGCACTCAGAGATCTCACAGAGTGGGTGAGTACCTTGCCATTTAATCTCATTGACTACATTGTCGTTAGCACTCCTCTTTCTATGCTAGATGCACTCGCTGGATGTCGGAATATCATACAATGGAACGCTGGTATCTATCTCAAACATATCGTTAATGGGACGGGACTATGCCGTAGATGCGGTTTATGCATCCGGTTTACTCAAGGCATTTTCGAGTGGATCACAGCCCGGTTGAACATCTAGGTCTGATTCCTGCACGATCCACACTAGTTAGTGTCGTTGATCGGCGTGCAGCAGCTGAGAAGCGAGTCGGACATGTTCTGCGGACGATGGAAGGAGATCATCCCATCACATTGTAGTCGGTGCGTCTCGACTCCAGCCATTATTATCGGTATTATCCGGAGCGCTCTGATTGCTTTTGACATTCTATGTGAACATCAGAGTGGGCGGAACCTTCCTCCGAGTCGTCTCCTGCCTGCACCACTACATGCAGCTCAGATAGGCTTCCATGCATGGCCTGATACCAGCAATGCTATGTCAGCCTCCGATGACCCTGTGGACACAAAATGCCTGTTCGGCGTGTCACAATCTCAGGGAAGTGTTGTATTTGATCGGCCTTACAGCTGCAGGAATCAATTGCATCGCAACCAAGCGCTACTATTGAGAGACTGAGCGCCTGATAGTAACAGGAACCGCTGAGAAACGAAAGCTGAGAAGCCATGCTGAGCGGCATGGCTGTTCAAGACAGCTATACATATGTGCTGCAGCAAGCTCCATGTCACGGGCAGGTGGTGTAGTGCGCAGTGCCTGTGACAGCCACGTCCATTCCAATACGACATCCTCCGACCAGCGCGGCGCGTTACCCGTGCCCACATCTTGCCAATTCTGTCCATCTCACGCACCAGGAAGTAGCCGAGAAGGCGGAGGGCAGAGAAGGCGAGCCGCAGACGAATGCGATGGTTCAAGATAAGTAGCACAACAGAACAACGTATTCGTGACGGTCAGCGCATGTGCAGGGCAACATCGACGTGCGGCGTTCAATAAGAGAATAAATGCAGTTACATCGCTGTGCTGTGCTGTACAGTGTAAACGGATGGAAAAGGAGTGGACGGGAGGACAGACGCTAGAGTCAATGGGCTTCAGTTCCTTGATGATAGAAGGACTGTGATTAATATGTACCTAGAGTCAACTACGGTACATCAGTATGTAATCTACTTTCATGTAGGACAGTATTGGTACTCACTGGGCTTCAGTTCCTTGATGATAGAAGGACTGAAGCCCGCAGAACGAGCGAAGCAGGTGAAAAGTCTTACGGGCGCTAATGCCCGATAAGTACATAAAAGGAAATACCAGCTGATAAGACCATACTTAAGTATAGCTAGGCTTGATATTCCAACATACAGAGTCCTTGATCTCCGGGCAACAGCGAACAAAGGAAAGCAAAAAAGTCCAATGCTACAGTGCCACAGCCTTTATCCTTGCACGATGCCGGTATGTGATGATCAAGTGCCACCAATAGAGGCTGTGTGAGCGTCAGCGGACCGTATCGGACTCATGAAGATTTGATGTTCTGTGGTATCGAAGCGTTCGTTACGTATATAACAGGTTCGACAGGGCCTCTTGAAGTCATCGCACGGCCGTCCGTCCTACTCTTATTCCCTCTCATCGACATCCTCTCCACCATTGTCATCCTCCATTTTGACAGGCCACGTCTCGTGCACATTAGAATCCCTCGTGAGCAACTACATTAATCATGTTTTTGGACACTTGCTCATATAACGACACAAGCCGTCCGATCCTGCCCGGATGGCCGCTCCAGTAGGCGCCAATGCAGCTCTGCCGATGAATAACCCTCAGCCTCGCCTTCCGCCCGAGATCTGCGAGCGCATCATCGACCAATTTTATCCACACCGTTCATGGCGCGTTGACAGACAGACCGTGCTGAATTGCGCCCTCGTTTGCCGAGGGTGGTACGCCCAGAGCCGCATGGTATTTTACAAGGAGACCTTCCTCCACAGTCGCAAAGAGGCAGTCGCCTGTATGAGGTCACTGATGCGGATACCTCTCCTCGCTGGTGGTGTGCAATCGTTACGGCTCGGAAATTATTGGTTAAAATCGGAGAACGCTCTCACAGGGCCGGAGTTGGCATCCATTATCGTGATGCTGGCAGGGAAACTTCCAAACCTGGAGACCCTCTATTTCGAACGTGTCAGCTTCGAGCACTGCTCCATGCGCCATTTGGCATTTTGGAGTTTGCACGAATTCAGTCATATCACAATATTGGTGCTACATACTGTGACGTTGCCATCGGCGAGCCCCTTCTTTCAGGTCGTCTGTTCGTTTCCTCATCTGCAGGAACTTTATTGCTGGGATCTGCACTGGAGCAAATCGAGGTCCATCGCTCCACTACCTGCACACCACCGCATGCCTTTGACGAAAGTAACTCGTCTTGGCTATGACATGTCGTGCTTCGAAGGCATCGGACATACTCTTCTCGGTCTGCTGGATCAAGCTATCCTCAAAGAACTCACCTTACACCTATGTGTCTATGCGGCAACCCTTGCTTCTACTCAAGACATTCTGAGCATAGTCAGCAGAAGACTCGAAAAGGCACAGGTCGCTTTCTGGACAGGAAAAAAAGAGAGTGCTGATGCCAATTTACACTGGCAGTCTTTGCTCTGTGAGTACTCCATCAAATCATGTTCCCTGCACAGCATGGCTCATACTTTTTGAGTGCACGCTATCAGTTTTGAAGCAAACATAAATATGCAGGGACTGAACCTGTGCATCATCATTTCAGAAATGGATGATGTTGCACTGTTTGTCCGGAGTGTGCTGCTGCCTCTGTTACACACAATATCATCAAACGATCTCAAGTTTATCTGTTTTCAAATAGAATGCCATTCGAAATTGGAAACCGATGCCCTGCTTAATGCATTTGATCAAGAGGCCTGTGTTCAGATCGACGAGCTTTTGGCTGAGGGACATTTTGCCAAGCTGCGAGACGTGCTCATACGTTTCAATTTACGCTCCACTGAGTTGGACGACTCGCAGCGCGTTGGGTTTTGCACAGAGATTTGTGCCCGCTTTCCTAAACTGAATGACAAAAACATGTTGATGTGCGTCATCGTCATTTCTTTACAGCATAACTGAACTCACACATGGATCCAGTACTTATTATAACCAACGCCGATTTCCGAGCGACGCTGAGAGGGCGTTGAAGGCCAAACAACTTGCCAATAAGCAGCCTCGTCCAACCGAGCAAGCCGCCGCATAGGCAATTACTGCCTTCGCAGCCATGCCATCTCGCCTTCACTTTCCTCTCCAAACAATCCTGGACGTGCAGCTCCCACGGCGGCCCTCCCTTCCTCTGCCAAATTTCATCCCATCGACAAATCATCCAGATCATTATACTCTCTCCCAATCCCCTCGTTCGCTTCTGTCATGCCATCGGCATGATACTGGACATGGCACGTCGTTGCCGTGGTCACTATGTCCTACAGTGTATGCCTTGTCCTATCTGTCGACAATCACAGTTACGCCTCGTTCGCAGTCATCATGATATCCTCGCGTCCCTGTTATCACACTCTTCGCTCAAAGTCCTTTTGACGCTCGCTTCGCATCGGCGGTATATTCTCGGACGTCCCACGGTAATTACCAGTTTGTGTACTCGGTGTCAGATATAACTACTACACGAAAGATAGGATTTTCTGTATCTTTCCCTCGCCTCGCTTGATCTTATCTATGTCTTTGTTATGCATTTTTTTTTCAATACTACGAATCCACATCACAATTTGAAGCGTTCAGGCGATATTATGATCGTCGTGAGCACGGTGTGCCGTCGCAATGACCCTCACCGATTGTCGTATAATTTACATAATAGTGGTAAAACAATTTCACCATCGTGCACTCGATGCGAAATATCAACGATGCCGCAGTGACAGAACTCACTCATACACCAGTGAGAAAAAAATAAACGCGGCATTCATACAGAAAACAGATACACACATGACTTCTTCGATACGAAGACCGAGTAAGCATGTAGAGACCGATATTGAGATCGCACATGAGATCGAGATCAGAAACCAAGACCACAGACATTAACAGAGACCACGTCTACGAGGAAAAGAAGCTGAGACGAAAGACCGAGACTACAGCGACGAGAAAGGACATCGGAACCACAAGACAGGAAGAGAGATCGGGACGAGACATAGCATGTGGTCCAAGGGCGGGAGGCATCATGAGACGAATGCTGCGCACAACGCCCACCAAAGAGGGAATGGGAATGCATTGTTCCGGAACCGATGCGTCCGATGAAGCTTTGCATGTCGTCTGTCCGAGTTATCGACGACGACGAACGTATGCTCGTGTAGGTGTGTGACGCTGAAGGGAGCATAAATCGGCGAGGGCAAAGAAGCACGGAGATAAGTAATGCTTACCTCCTGTGGCAGTCCTTCCCGTCGTTTCATGTGATGTCCGGAGAACGCTGAAGCGAAAGCAGGCCTTAGGACAGCAGGACCAACAAATGGACGCACAGTCCGACGGTCGACTCGGGCCAGCGCACCTAACAAGGACAATGCTATCAAATTATCGCGATGACTGGGGAATCCTTCGCTTCGCCCGTTCTCCCCTATTGCAGATGGTGAGCTCCGAAGCTCGAGCAACTATCGGCGGTGACCCATGTGCCACGATATCGTGATCCAAGACCACATCGGAAGAAGAGCATCCCACGCGAACGATGCGAGAGCAGAGGAAGAAGCGAGGGCGATCCACTAGGGAATACAATGTGAGCCTAAGGTGATGGCAGGAGAGTGCGGTGTGACCGAGGCAGGGAAATCGAAAAGGGACGATGTCGATAACCTACAAAAGATCGTCAGCAAGCTAAAGGAGTGAAAATGGTACGAGAACTCACTAAGAACGATTGACGGCGGTCAAGTGCCTGCGTAAGTTTAATGGGCGAAAGCAAATGAACGAGACGTTGAGAGCGCTTGCTGTATGGACTTTTCCAACGGGATCCTGCATCGGAGAGAAGGCCGAAAGAACGATGCCCGTGTTGAACGACGCTGATAGATTGCGCACGATGTTGAGCAGGCAGTGGCGGGCAAATAAGTGAGATAGAGAAGAGCGTGGCCAGCGACTTTCGCGATTCGAAGGAACATCTTGTAGGCTATGAGGCCCCAAGCGATGGGAACGCCTGCATTGCCGAAGGACCGTGAGGTTGCTCACGGCCGTGCCCTTGTAACGCGGGAGGCATGCGTCGCCTTCCCGATCGGAAGGCTCGGGATGAGGGATGTCATGAGTGCTATGTTGCAATCATCCGAGATGGGAGTATCCAATGCTGGATCCGTGTTCTCCACTGAGGTGACCTTGTCCGAGATTGAGATGCGGACGGCCCTGTCAATGTGCACCGTGGAGGGAACCTCAACAGGAACGGTCGCGTTGATGGCCTTGTCCACATGTCCTACTGATGGAACGTCAATAGCGGCAAGGCGCAACCGGGGGACTTTCTCTGACGCTGCAGGATACAAAGAGGAGGTGGCTCGATCTTGCCCGCGGAGACAGCGCGTAGGCCGAAGATGAACGTACTGATGAACGTGGACACAGACGCGGATGTCAGCGTGAAGATGATCTACAAATTGTCGTCCGAGACCGCGGTGCACACTGAATATAGGCAGACATGACTCGTCGAATTCGCAGGTGACTACCTGCAAATTGTCGTCGCAAAGTGGAGTGCGCATGCAAGCCGTAGTTAAGGACGCAACGCTGGGCTGTATGGCTGAAATGCACAAATAGTGTTCCGAGGGCAAAAGGGATCATGTGAACGCACCAGTTTGGCAGGGATTGCCTTCTCCCTACAGTGAAATCCTCAAGGGAACGATTCCAACTTGACCGCGGTTTGGAACGTTGACGTTCCAGTAATGCACGCAGGAAGTTGAGCAGAGCACCGTGACAAGCTCCGGAGAGGATGATAGCAGATGCGAAGCCGAGTCTTGGTCATTAACAAGCTTTCAGTGATACAGAACCTCTGATATACTGTACGCATACCTACTTCCTGTCGAGCCCAAGGATGAATGTGCAGAGATGATCAAGCCCTCGAAGTGAAACGAGAAGTAATCATGTAGACCCGCTGCAGGACGAGGGTAGACGAGGGCGAGAGCACGGACTGATTGGAGGTGCCGATGCTTGCGAAGCTAGACATGGATCTTCTTACCGAGAGGATCCAAAGCGAGCACTAGTGCTCTGCTCTGAGGTGTGGTGCAATCGCAGGAGCCAGAAAGCATGCGGATATTGCAATGACTCAATCCATAATCATACTACTACGGGTAGGCTCATAAATCAGCTTTCGTACAGGAAGACAGTCGTTCCTTATACTCAGGCTGAGACTATCACGGGGGGTCCAGAGGGAAGACCCCCCGTGGGAAAGCGGAGTTTCAACGTGCCGACGGCAATTCGACGCTCGAAGCTTTGGCGCTGGTCGGACACACCACGTGATCGCGTTGTACAGAACGCGTCTGTAAAGGACATCGCGCGTAGATCGTGTACCTCTCGTGTATTTTAGCCATGTCGTCTCAAGAAACCAATGCAATACAGAGTACAAATCAAAGTGATGAAGAAGCAAGCAGAGAAAGCCCCACTTTCGCTTCCTCTGCCCACCAAAGTGGCCCAAACCACTCCCCAGACTCTAGGCCCTATCCGCTTGCCAGTCCCTTTTCGACAGCTTCTCACCCGCATACAGCATACCATGGGCAGTACAGTCCAATCTTTGCAGGCTATGGCTCCAACTTCCAAACATACAGTTGGCAGCATGGGTATTCTACACCCTCTCCTTCTCAGCATTCGTCTAGTGGAACTTTTGATATACCCACCTTCTCCGCGGAGTCGAGACGATCGAAACTCGGAGCCAGAGAATGGGTGCATAAAGAAGCGAGTGATGTACTTGATATGCGGGCAGTCAATGGAGTAACGAGCGTTCACGTACTGCCCTTGCCGAAAGCCAAGACCTGCCGCAATTTTGAGAGCATGACCAGAAGTAGCCGTACCGGTCACAGCAACCCAGGTTGTATTGGAGTTCAGCCGCGCACGCATCGTCTTGAGAACAGAATAGCTTTCGCGCCAGAGGGCTCTCGTCATCGGGCAAGTGAGCCTCATCAATCATGAACCAGCGGATCAGGTCTTTGAAGCCAGATATTCGCAGGAGCTTCATCATGCGTTCTCCAGCAAGCATTTGAGGGCTCAGGAAAGCGATGCGGACATCTTCACCGTTCTGCAGCTCGTCGTAAAGATCGCGCTTGTCGTAGTATGCGTCGCGGACAGTATCCTCGTTCAGCGCGATCGCGCGCAGCCCAACTCGACGGGCACTCTCGCTCTAGTAAATCAAGCCATACATAGCTCTTTATTTCTGTGTGTGAATCCAGCAGAGATATCGTACCTGCTGTATAGAAAGTAGCTTGGTAGGGACAATGTATAACGCGACGCCTCGCTCACCGAATGCTTGAGCTGCGAGTAGAGGGGCCCAGAAGACTGTCGTCTTGCCCTGACCTGGTGCAATAACTAGAAAGACCTCGCGTCCTTCAATGATGTCTAGTCCGTGTTTGATCTGGAATTCTCGAGGTTACGAGATCCCACACTTTTGAGAGAACAGCTCAGCAAGCCATTCAGCGTTGATTTGAGGGTCGCCGAGAGAAGACTGAGCAGGTTCAGACATATTTGCTACTATAGACAAGACTTTGACCGTATGAATGCGTTAACGAACGTCATGCTAGCATTGAGCGACACGAGGAGTATGCAGGAAGACACGCTCAGCCTGAGGCGCGTCCTCTGGTCGCGTGGTCGCGTTGTGGCGGTGGCGGCGGCATGTTCAAACTCAGCGTTCCCACGGGTACACTTCTCACTGGACCCCCTGGTGTTAGCTCGAGCCTATACTACGGGGAGCGACGAGAAGCAGGCCACCGCAAGAAGCGCCGACACCGTCACCGCCGTGACCGTCTGATTCTGTGGCCGATCCGAGCTTGAGCGTTACCACCGGCGCAAGAAGAGCCAGTCCGAGTCGAAGATCAAGTATAAGAAAGATCGGGTGCGGAACAGTACGATACAAGGCTGGAATACAGAGAAAAAGCACCTAGCGGAGGCAAGAGGCACGAGCTTGGAGAGGCTGAAGCGGCAGGTGGAGAATACGGATGAGGTACGTTTCAAGGGTGCGTCCATACGTCGGACTTTGGAGGCAGTCTCGTGTTGATGGGCTACAGGCCGCGGAGGGTAAAGTATGTCGATCCTCATTCGCACACGAGATGACCGAGAAGATATTTGGCAGACCGAAATACAATTCAGAGATGATAGTCACGGATCGTTCGCTCGTGGCAGAGATCTCACAGATTCCACCCCGCGATGAGTCTATGGCATTCAACAGATGAAATTATGATGATCGCTGCGGGAATGCTCAAGCAACAGCGCGGGTGAGTGTCTTGCCATTTAATCTCATTGACTACATGTCATTAGCACTCCTCTTTCTACGCTAGACGCATTCCTGGATGACGGGATATCATACAATGGAACGCTGGGATCTATCTCAAGCAGATCATTATTAGGACGGGACTATGCCGTAGATGCGGTTTATGCGTCCGGTTTACTCAAGACATTTTCGAGTGGATCACGGCCAGATTGAACGTTAGCCGTCTAGGTCTGATTCCTGCATGATCAACAACAGTGTCGTTCATCGGCGCGCGGCAGCGGAGAAGCGAGTCGGACATGTTTTGCGGACGATGGAAGGAGAGCATCACATCACATTGTACTCGGTGCGTCTCGACTCGAGCCGTTATTACCGGTATTATCCGGATCGCTCTGATTGCGTTTGACATTCTATGTGAACATCAGGGTGGGCGACTTCTTCCTCCGAGTCGTCTCCTGCCCACACCACCGCATGTGGCTCACACAGCTTCCCATGCACGATCTGGTATCAACAATGTTATGTCAGACTCCGATAACTTCGTGGACACAAAATGACTATTCGGCGTGTCACAGCCTCAAGGCAGTGTTGTATTCGATCGGCCTTACAGCTGCAGGGATCAATTGCACCGCAACCAAGCGCTACTATTGGGAGACTCGGTGCCTGATAGTAATAGGAACCGCTAAGAAATGGAAGCTGAGAAGCCAGGCTGAGCGGCATGGCTGTTCAAGACAGCTGTACATGTGTGCTGCATGCAGCAAGCTCCCTGTTCACGGGCAGGTGGTGTAGTGCGCAGTGCCTGCGACAGCTATGTCCGTTCCAGCATGACATCCTCCGTTCACTATGGAGATAGCACGGCGCGTTACTCGTGCCCACATCTTGCGGATGCTGTCCATGGCACGAGCCAGGACGTAGCTGAGAAGGCGAAGGGCAGTGACTCTGGAGAGGCGATCCAGGTATGAATGCGATGGTTCAAGATAGGTAGCAGGCAGTGACTCTGGAGAGGCGATCCAGGTAGGAATGCGACGGTTCAAGATAGGTAGCACAACAGAACATCGTATTCGTCGCAGTCAGTGCATGTGCAGAGCAACATCGATGTCCGGCGTTTGATATGCAGTTACATCGTCTTTGCTTTTTGCTGTACGTCCAAAAATTATTCCCTGGTGACAGACAGCGAACATCGGAACTCAAATGTGTATTATATGGTAGGACAGTGCCACATCCTCTATCCTTGCGCGATGGAAGTATGTGATGGTCAAGTGCTGCCAGTAGAGGCTGTGAGCGTCAGCGGACCGTATCGGAGTCGTGAAGGTTCGCGGTTCTGTGGTATCGAAGCGTTCTTTACATATATAAGCGGTTTCACACCTCCAAGTCGTCGCACGGCCGTCCATCCTACTCTTATTCCCGAGTCTCACCGACATCCTCTGCGTCATTTTCAACCTCCATTTTGACACACTACGTCTCGCACACATTGAATCCACTTGTGAGCAGCTACGTACAATCCTGTTCTCGGACACTTGCTCATGTAACAACATAAGCCGTCCGATCCTACCATGGCCGCTCCACTAGGCGCCAATCCAGCCCCGCCAATTAATATCCCTCAGTTTCAGCTTCCGCCCGAGGTCTGCGAGCGCATCATCGACCATCTCGATCCGTACCTTTTGAAAGGGAATGACGACAGACAGACTCTGTTGAACTGCGCCCTCGTTTGCCGAGGGTGGTACACCGAAAGCCGCGCGGTCCTTTTCGAGAAGCCCTTGCTCCGCAGTCGCAAAGAGGCAGTCGCCTGTGCGAGGTCACTGACGCGGATTCCTCTCCTCGCCAGCGGTGTACAATTGTTACAGATCGGGCGGAGTCAGTCAGATCCGGAGATCGTTACTACGGCGCCAGAGTTGGCATCGATTCTCGTAATGCTGGCAGGGAAACTTCCATACCTGGAGTCGCTCGAGTTCGATCTCGTCAGCTTCGAGCACTGCTTCATGCGCCATTTGGCATTTTGGAGTTTGCACGAATTCAGTCATATCACATCATTGTGCCTAAGCAATGTGACGATGCCATCGGCGAGCCCCTTCTTTCAGGTCGTCTGTTCGTTTCCTCATCTGCAGTACCTTTCTTGCTGGGATCTGCACTGGAGCAAATCGAGGTCCATGGCTCCACTACCTGAACGCCACCGCATGCCTTTGACGAAAGTGACTCGCCTTGGCTATGACATGTCGTGCTTCGAAGATATTGGACACCATCTTCTCGGTCTGCTGGATCAAGCTATCCTCAAAGAACTTCAGCTACATCCAAATGTCTCTGCGGCAACTCTCGCTTCGACTCAAGACATTCTGAACATAGTCAGCAGAAGACTCGAGGAGGCAGATGTCGGCTTGTGGGCAAGAAAGCAGGACAGTGCTGATGGCAATTTACAGTCTTTGCTCTGTGAGTACTCCATCAAAACATGTTCCCTGCACAGCATGGCTCACGCTTTTTGAGTGCACCCTATCAATTTTGAAGCAAACGTAAATATGCAGGGACTGAAACTGTGTATCATCATTTCAGAAATGAATGATGTTGCACTGTTTGTCCGGAGTGTGCTGCTGCCTCTGTTACACACAATATCATCAAACGATCTCAAAGATGTCTGTTTTCGAATACAATGCGATTCGGAACTGGAAACCGGCGATGCCCTGCTTAATGCATTTGACCAAGAGGCCTGTGTTCAGATCGACGAGCTTTTGGCTGAGGGACATTTTGCCAAGCTGCGAGACGTCTCCATAGTTTTCTATCTAGGCATCACTGCGTCGGACAGTGACTCAGCGTCGGATGACTCACAGTGGATTAACGTTTGCACAGAGATTTGTGCCCGCTTTCCTAAACTGAGTGACAAAAACGTGTTGATGTGCGTCCTCGTCATTATTTAAAGCATAACTGAACTCAATTGGATTCAGTACTCGTTATAACCAGCACCAATTCCCAAGTGATGCTGAGAGAGAATTGAAGGCGAAACAACTGGCGAATAAGCAGCCTCGTCCAACCGAACAAGCCGCCGCATAGTCAATTACCGCATTTGTAGTCACGCCATCTCACCTTCGCTTTCCTCTCCAAGTAAACTTGGACATGTAGATCCAACGGCAGCCCGTCACTCTGGCCAACTCTCATCCCATCTGCAAATCATGCGGAATTCAGCCCGAGCATCATACCCTCATCCAATCTCCTAGTTTTCTTTCGTCATGCCATCGCCGTGATCTCGAATATGGCACATTGTTGCCACGGTCATTATGGCGTAGGGCATACCCGCGTCCTATTTCATCGCTTAGCACAATTACGTCGTCGTCCACGGTCATCATGATAACCTTTGTCCTATAATCACCGTCTTCTGTAAAATCCTCTTGACTCTCACTTCGCACCGGCGATATTTTCTCGAACGTCCGGCAGTTCTTATACCAGTTTTGTGTACTCAATGCCGGATCCATGTACTACTGCGCGACAGGTGGGATTCCGTGTCACTTCCCCTCGCTTCGCTTGCTGTACTTGTGCCTTTGCTACGCCGTTTCGTTCTTCTAGCACTACGAATGCAGATCAGATGTTTCAGCGATCAGTCCGTTCCCGTAGGCATGGCGTGCCATTGCAATGAGTCCCAAGCGGTGAAGCAGCGATGGTCGTGTAAAGATTTCACCATCGTGCACTCGATGCGAAATATCAACGATCCCGCAGTGACAGAACTTACTCGCACTCATCGCTTCGAAGGTACTCGGTGACGCGATCACGATTCTGCCCGGCATTCTTGAGACATGACGGTTATGGCAGCGACCATCATTTCATACATAACCTACACACGCTCGCCTTGGAGAGGGCCGATTTCGATATTCGTTTCCACAATGGTCCGTGCACATCAAGCAATCTAACTTCACATTTGTACGTCATCCCAAAATGGGGCGAGCACGGGCATATTTGAAGAAGATCGGCGTTGATGACTGCATCAATATAGAGTAACGGAACGAAAAGTCTTGTCAACGTACTGCGGAGGCAGTGGAGTGAGACCGAGTGGCGCAGTAAAGTGAGGATGAGGACGAGAATTCAGCGTCATCGCAGCATCATAGTTGGTGCATATTAGTATGCTAAAGCTCGACTTACTGCGAATTTGGAGACTGGAAGGTGTGCCGCTCATCCTGCTGCTTTTTATCATCATAAGGTGACAGTCAGGTCTGCACACCTTTAAGCATGTTTACTATCTTATCGCGAGTACTGAACTTTCTCACCTTCGCCTATGGCATGTCCTTTCAATCTCTCCCCTAGGCCTCTGATCTGATCTAAGAGCCAGAAGGATCGATTAGGTTTTGTAGCGGTATGTTGCACCATTAAATCGTTTGTAGCCTCCGAGTAAAGTCGCAGGAAAAGCATACATACGTTTCAACGGTCAATGCAGGCGAGTCTGCCGCGTGGCAGTCGATCGTGCCACAGTAAGACGATCGGAAAGTTCCGAAGATTGTTAGAAGGCAGGCCTGCTGCTTTCGGCTCAAATCGATATTTTCTCCAATTCAAACGCGTTGTGCAGTTGATCTTCAGCTTCAGCTTTAATCTCGAGGACGGCCTCCCTCGTTGGCGGCGGGTGAGCGCGCTGAACCTCTGAGCCCGTTCGTTTGAGCAATCGTGCTCATGCTAATTTTGCAGAATCCAATATGGACAGCGGACCCGCGGACCTCGGCGGTCATGCGACATCAAACGACTTGGGACATGACGCTGAAGAACACATTGCTCGAGAGATAGCTATGCATCATCGGGAGATCCAGAAGCTGAGAAAGCGGTTGAACTCGCATCGCACTGCTTGCAGGCTTCCGGTCGAGATCCTAACGAACATCTTCGAGGAAGTCCGACTCACTACCCAGACTTTGGACTACAGCCCGTTACAGGACCCTGATCCCTACGAGTGGATTGTCGTCACTCATGTATGTTCCCTTTGGCGCGATGTTGCTCTTCGGTCGCCCGCGCTATGGCGACATATATATGTGACCGAGACTGCCATGGAATGGATAACAGAAATTCTTAGCCGTTCCAAAGACATCCCCTTGGTGGTTGTAGCTCGCTATGTTCCCGACTCAGCAATACCACGCCAGATGGTCGCTGTCGTACTACAGAAGATGTTTCGGATAGGGATCCTTCGCATTTCGGCTCCAATGGATGTATTGAAGAACATCGCACAACTCATTGACGGGTCAGCACCTGTCCTGCAGCATATTATAATTACGTGTAACAGCACTTGGCACGAACCAGTCAGTTTTGGCCTTCTACTCAATCCCGAACAGTTGCCGGTTCTACAACGACTCGAATTAGATGACATCTCGTTTCCTTGGGGCACACCTCTTCCCCACACGGTGCGCGAACTTACTTCCCGTGTTCGTGAAACGACTTTGGGCGACATGCTGCGGACATTGAATACAGTCCCCGGTCTGGAAGTACTCAGCCTTTCGAGCAACCCATTTTCGCTCAGTGACAATCGAGAAGATCATACAATAGTCCCTCTCCCGCGCCTCCGGCTGCTGTGTTTCTCAGAGGGCGATATATCTCATGTCGCGAGCCTAGTCGATCATATCTCGTTTCCTTTGCAAACGAGCATCGAGTGGACGTGTCCTTACGCGTTCGGTGACGAACAACCGTTCGCTACTCTAGCGGCGAAGTTGTTCACACGTACACAATGGAAAGCCTTGCACATTAGTTCAGAGTTGTGGCGAATCATGATCAGGGCCTCCAGTGACGCCGAACAGCTTGACTGGTGTCGCGGCTATGTCGGATCATCGAGCACGCTGGATTTCAGTTACGCATCTGATCTACAATCCCTTCCGGCACGCGAATTGGTCGCTACGTTCTGCAAGGCCGTCCCGCTCATCTACGTTCGCACGCTGGAGATGTCATGTGGGTTCGATGACCTAGGCTGGATGGAGTTGTTTGGTGATCTGCCAAACCTTTCCAGTCTGCATGTGGTTGGTGGCATGGCGCTGACCCTACCACGGGCTCTCCGGACTCGCCTTCGAGACGATGGCGATGGCGATGTCCTTTACTTCGCACACGATCTCCGCACACTGACTTTCAGTGAGGTTGATTTTATGGCCCCGGCGATCTCTTTCGGTCCGATTACATCGTGCGGCCCGTTGAAGGAGCTAGAGATCGCTCTCCAAGAACGGCGCGCACATGACGTAAATCTAAAGAAGATAGCCTTCAGGCACTGTACAAAACTGGGCGATTATAACCGTCGACGATGGGAGCACCTTGCCGAGAAGGTAGAGCATTACTGCAGCTGGGAAGAATTCACGGACACTGATGAGGGTGGCTATCTCTCGGAGGCGGACATCCCACAAATTGACGAGGACGATGAAGACTTCGACGACTTCGACGAGAACAACCATATTCATGGCGCATATTGAAAAATGGCTCGACTTCTGCACATGCGCAAGGTGCGTATTTCATTCGCTCGGTTTCTATCTGTCCATTCTCACAAAATGACTTATAGATCGATTGAAAGTATCCACGTTCGATTTGCTTGTCGATGGGCCTATCAATTGGCACGTTCATTCTCGCTTTTCGGGACATCTTATGACAATCCTATTACAATCTGCGAAACGGATCTACTGACGCTGCTCTTTTGACAATCCTACTACAATCTGCGAAACGGATATACTGACGCTGCTCTTTCTGAGACATTGCTATCACAAAATCCTCGCTACCCTCGTATGATTCGAAAATGTATTTTTACATGACTTTTGAAGACGCCATGGCGTTGCGTTCCACTGCCACCAATTTGAGATTTAATGTGTCGTCCGTTTTTCAGATTATATATGTCTTGTCCGATATCTGCGTTCTCTCATTGATTGAGGTGCATGTATGCAACTGCTCCCTTTTCCCAGCTGCCGCATTTCGTTCCCTGGGAGTCAACACACCTCATGCCCTCTGTCAAAAATTCTTTTCAATGCTACAGCTTACAAGATTCTGTTGATCGCGTTCACGAGGGCTATATGCTACAGGCGTAGAACTACAGGAGGCTATCTTCTTATACAAGTCCAATCATCACACGATACACCGAGTCATTTGCTTCTTCTCTTGACATGCACAACGTTCTCTTAGTTGGCTGACAACACCCTGCCCTTTGCGCTAACGGTCTGGATATCAACAGACAGAATATCCTGTGAGGAGGTGAGCGGTCAACTGTACATTCAAGCAGCATTCCACCGGATGGGCTTACCTTACCACCCCTCAGCTCTGCAGGCGATGGCATCATGCCCAGCCGCATGAGCTCAGATGCCTTGCTGACAACAGGGTCGTTTTGCATGCTGCAGATGACGATTCAATAATCAGAAGGTCAATGACAACGTCATGACCCACCTAGCCACTGCAACGACTTTATCGTCTTTCACATAGTATGCAATGAACTGAAACGGAAGTCAGTAGCCGTTGAAGTTTGCGAATAGAGGATTCCTGCTTACTTTCATCTCATCTGGATTTCCGACCATGATAATATCATCGAATCCTGCGCCAACGCCACAGTAGCGCAGCTGCTGACCCTCTGCATAGTATTGTCAATCCGCGCACAAGGAACAAAAAAGGAAAGACTACATACGTGCACTCCAGAACACAGGGATCTTGACGTACGGCTGGGGCTTTCCTTCCGCGATCGTTTTACCGACCGCACGTCCTTGGTTGCCAGCAACCTACATAATGTCGCGTCAGCTCTTATTCTTCAAACAAGCGTGCAGTGCTTACGTTCCAGTGCTCGATCCTCCTCATCTCCCCCGTCCCAGGCTGAGGGTAGATCGCAATATCGCCAATGGCATACACGTCCTCCACTCCCTTCACCTGCAAGAACTGATCCACGACCACCCCCCCGCTCTTGTCAAGCGCATTTTCGAAACCCTTGCTCCCCTTCAGGAACTGTGTCGCGGGGGCAACACCAACGCCCATGACTATTGCGTCTGCTGGCAGTGTCCGCTGACCGTCAGCCGTCTTCAAAATAACAGCCTCGGCCTTAGACGAGTCCGTCTTCGAAGGCACAATCTTCTCAATGGTGCTTTGCATGTGGAAGCGCGCACCCTTGCTGATGTGAAACTGCACGATATATCGTTAACGACCAAATGACAGTGCAGATAGAGAGATAAATGAACCTTCATGAGACCCTGGCCAACCTGCTTGCCAAGGATGGAATCGAAGGGGACTTCCTCCAGACCGATAACATCGATCGACGCGAGCTTGCGGTTCGAGACCGCGACCACGAGCTCCATGCTGATGAAGGAGGAACCGATCACTACGAGTCGCTTACCCTCCTGGCAAGCTGTAACGACCACGCATCAGCCATGCACTGAACAAACATGACCTTACAACTACCTGCGTCAATCTTCTTCGCATCATCAATGCCTCTCAGAGTGTAGACATTCGCAAGGTCTTTACCCTCGATCGGGAGCCTCCTGGCCACACCGCCCGTCGCCAGGATAAGCGTATCGTATGGAACGCGCTCCTTGTTCTGACCAACGACGACTTCCTTTGCAGGCACGTCCACCGCAGTAACCTCGGTACTGGTTCGAAGGTCAACACCATATTCTGTCTTTAGCTCCTCAGGAGAGCGCAACTCGATCTTCGCCGGATCCGTGATAAGCGCCTTACTCAACTTAGTCCTAGGAACATCGTTAATGACTTGACAAGATTCGCAACGCATATATGCTCCCACCTATCAATTGGACTGTAGTACTCCCTCGAGAGCACAGTGATCGGACCATTGTACCCGTGCTATATGCGCGTGAACCTCGGCACATACACCTATGTCACAATACCAGACGTACCTCGCGCAAGCCTTCGACACAGTGAAACGTACCACTGCCGCCACCGACAATGACGACACCTTTTCTGTTGCTTACAGTTGCAGCAGACAGCTTGGGTTGGCGGGAGAGGTTGCTCTTGAGCGTGTCGGAGGGATTCGCGGTCACGTGGATCTTGTTGTCGGCGATGTACGCCTTGAAAGAGTGGATGGGATTGGGTGCAGGCGCATCCTCTGCTTTACGTGTCAGAGTTGCTTAAAGATATGGTTCAACGTTCATGGCTCACGCACCAATATCACCAGTGCACACGTTGAAGCAGGCTTGCAAGAACTGATCTCAGATTGCGTTCTCATTCAGTGTTGCACGACACTACTTACCACCATGCCAGGGGCTGAGAATCCATTAAAATATCAGTATCCATGGTCCTCTCTAAACACCGTATTGCGTTACTTACCAGACAACACGACCATCGGCAGTGAGGACACCCTTCGCAAGAGGGGCACCGTAGTGAGTGCAGAATGCGCTCGTCGCGTGAATCTTGTCGCCGAGACGTGCAAGGAGCACCTTGCCTTCGCCTTCGAAATCCACTTGTTTCCTTAAATTTACCATCAGCAGTCGCCCTCGCTCGTCGCGTCACATCCACTCGCACATCTCTCCATCCTTGAGTTCAGACTCGTCGAGAACAGCGATGGTTTTCGCGGACATGTTACGGAGCTGAGATGAGTATGGTCGCAGTAAAAGATGTGAACGGTGCGTATACGCGAGTGTGCGGAGATGGAGGCGAGTGAGACGGAGGAGGGAGGACATGAACGCGGGCGGCCGTGGATGAGGATATCTCGAAGCGCCGGTAACCCGATCGCGTCTCCGTTGACGTCACTGTCGCACGCATACGGTATCCAATGAGGGTGCTTCCAATTGCCATCTTATATTTTCGTGAATATGCCTCCGTATTGTTCGGGATTCAGCCAACGTCGGCGAAGCTCATGCAAGTTGCAGAGCAGACCACCGCGCGTACTTCAAGGTTCGTCCAATACACACCTTACTGCAACGATTCGCATGAAAGTCATAGCCGACTCCATATACGCAGTCACGCCGCATCACCCTTCAAACCAGATAGAATACACTGGAGCGTACAACCACACACCACGATGCTCTTGGATACTCAAATTCTGCAACAAAAGGACTGCAATTTACATCATCACAAGCGCGACGGTGGTAACAGCTGTAGCACCCAGGACAGCGTAACCCGTCTGGTAGGCTCCCTTCAAGGTGGTGACTGGAGAACCGCAGAGGTGTCATGAGCATCATGCGACTATCTGGAGAAAGGCCGGACGCACATTTTCCCACGTCCCAGACCAAATGACGAATACCATTCCAGGAGTGGAACGCGAAAGGCGCGGCAAGGATGGTCTTGCCCGCGATCTTCAGACCCTCAGGAAGACCAGCAATGAACTCAACGACATGCGTAGAGTCAAATACGGTCGGGGCGACGAGGTAGGCAAGGGCGTAGGCGTAGAGGACTGTGTATGGTTGTGCGTCCTAGATTTTCAGCGACCCGACCCTTCTACGACGCAAAGCAAATGACTATAACTCACGGACACCCAGACCAGCGCCCGTAAAACGGTGGGCAATGGACCCAACCCAGGTGAGCTGGGGTTGGTAGATGGTGAAGTGGGGGCTTGAGGGACGCTTCAGTCGTTGCGCGTTCAGGATCTCCTCAGACGCTGAGGGCGGTAGTGATCGAGTCGTGATTCCCCTACACATTGATTTCAGCACTGCTAGCAGCACGCGTGAAGTGAGACCCATTCACCGCCTCGCGACGGCATTCCTTAAAGCGGGAGCTTCAAACCACGAATGTCAGTGCCGCCGCAGATTGTAGGATCAATGGAGTCAAGTACCGAATCTGGGCTTGAATGCAACCTGTCTCAGGGCAGATCCAAGACCCAAGGCGCGAGTGGACATCATCGTAGAAGAGGTGGTGAACGTTGGAGGCGGAGATAGAGATGGTCAACACTCCACAGAGCGGGAACAGCGCGGAAGGCGTCGGCCGACTGTGACTCGCCTTCACATGTCCGTGACAACTGTCACGCCGAGGCGTTTCTTTGACGGCCACGGCGGCGCGCCATAATTTCACTACCATTCATCATCGTCTGAAACGATGACCGCTACGTCGTATCAATCCTGTTGTATTCGTCGTGTCTTAGATGATTTTATTTTGGGTCCCAAACAAATGATGAAGGATGCTACAATATATCTGACGATATCGGGGTGCGTTTCATCCTTGTTGACCTCTTGAAACTATTTTCTCCCAACTGGATGCCATCCCATCCACACTATATCAAGAGTGGACTCAGGCCAAGTGCCAGGTTCTCTACCCCCATCTTCTCCTCGTGCTGTGGTCTCTGCAACTCAAGGTATTTCATCCATCATGCTCTATTACGCTCGTCAGAATGTGCTGCGATTCGCAGCTTATCCTGAGAACGTACGCTTGACGAGTGCAGGCTTATGCACGGATGTCGCCTGGTCAGGACCTGCACAGGTCCACTAGCACAACCCCTTCAGTTCGTCCATGGAAGCCAGCTGGTCCGGCCGGTCGATTTTCAAGATTGACGTAAGTGGCACAACCAAATAAAATTCCTCTAGAGGTCAAAACATGAACACTGCAGCAACTCAGCGTAAGAATAGCGCTTCGGTGAGGAGAAATGTGAGGCAAAAATGTTGATTACGGGTGGTTGGCACTAACCAGAGTTTCCGGACAATTCATCATACAGGCATGATCTCTCCCGCTTGGAAGGCTGCGAACGCACAAACCTGTCTGGTAGGATCGCGCGCTTCGATCGTTCCCGCGAAATGCTAAAACTGGCTAAGCGCGCGTCGCCACCTGTGCTTGATTGCCCCCGTCGGCCGGGGCCATCCTGGTCCGTTATTGAACAGATTGAATACGGGGCAAGTCCAGTGAGTGGCGCCTGCACTTTGACATCTTCATTGGCACGCTTTGAAGGGTCTTCGTCTGCTTCATTGCCGCCGCACGTGTGCAGCCTTTCGCAGGTACGTGCATACCGACGCAGGAATTTATCTCTGCTCATGGGTACTGGTTGTCGAGAAGTTTTCAGCTGTCAACGTCATCTGTCCGGGCTCATGGGAGTGCCCAACGCCTTTGAACGATTAACTCACCGCATGGATAGGACGCCACACCTACCCTACATGCTTGTCTTCGATCTTGCATGCCGACGCACGCTTATATTTTGTTATCTCCGCGTGATCAAAGCAGAATCTGACGTAGCGAAGCTAGACTTTGAAAAAAGCGTCTCCGTTGGAGGGAGAGGATGGATAACATGGGGTGGGGAACTCTGGTTTGTCTATCGCAGCGCTCAGGCTCGACCACGACCACAATACCGGAGTTTCTCGGCGACAATCGGCTCAATTTCGTTGTGTTCAACTCTTCACGGTAGCGTGCTGATGGACTATCCGATCGAAAAAATGCTGACATAATTTCCCCAGCGGTGTCTTCCAGTCATGTGAATCGATCCTTCCATCTGCATGTCTCGGTCCCTGTATGATGACATCCCCGCCGCGGGAGAACCCATCTCAGCGACGCCAATCACGGCCATCGGGCGTTCTTAGGCGTTTATAAGGGCGGACGCGAGTGGGGGGAGCACTTCTCCTCTTCAACCTCTCTGCACACGGATGTCGCCGTACAGGTTCAAAGCACAAAGCACTTCGTGATAATGCGGAAGGAAACGCGAGCGCGCGAGCAGGAAGTTATGGCTTGTGGGCGTCGTCCTTTGGGCTCCCTGTGCATATATAAAGAGCTCGCCATTTGGTTGAAATCCTTCATCTTCCCTCGTCCCCCATCATCCGCCTGCGCCCATGGGCGACGATATCCCTGCCTTTCGTTGGAACTCCAACGAGACCCTCGATGAGGCAGGGTATCAGCACATGTTGGACCTCCTTGAGCAAGGTCAAAACGTCGATCGTGTTGACCACGGGTCCGTCAGCCCAGCTCGTCCTCCTCCTTCCCTTTTGGATGCATTTTCCCTGCGCGGAACGGCTGAACAGAGCACCATGGATGCTCTGCCTGACATATTGGGCCATCTGATCTCATTTGACGAGATTGCTCAAGAACGCCACAGTGATGACGCGTCCTCGGATGCGACGACGCAGGTGGACTCGCAGGAGTATAGCGATCAGGGTACAATCAGTCGATCGGGTAACGCACTCATGCTGGAAGGCTGTGTCGAGCCAGAGGATGTGCCCGGTGCTTCATCCCGCTCTCGACACAGCGTCGATAACTGGTGGGAGGGATCATACTCCCACGATTCCCCCACGCCGGTTTCCTTACCATACAATCATTCTCCCTTGCGGACCGCTTCACCTCACTGCGGCCGCGATGAACATATGTACGACCAGGCGGGGTTTGCAGATGGTCTTGGTTTCGCAGACTTTGCTGTGACGCACCCAATTTCGACGAGCATGCGCGCAATATCGCCTCTCATTGCTCCGTTCGATGCTCCCATGCCCTCCTCATCTCCAGTTTGGTGCGCGACTACTGCCACTGAAAATAGTTTGTACGTTCCGCAACGCGATAACATCGTTCTCCGACGAGCCGCATCCTGTGCGGACCCGCTTAGCAGGCGTACGACTATCATGAGACCTAGAAGTGCTCTAACTACCTTACCCGATCCCGTTATTGCCTGCGATGGCTGCCATGACCAATCCCCTCATCTTCTGCCTCCGCTACTCCTGGTTCAGGCTTCCAATGTTCCTGCGCATTCCATCGGAGTGTCCGCTGTCGCGTTCACACCTGATATACCCTCGACGCCGGAGACTGCAAGGAGTCAGGCATCATTTCAAATCAACTCGCTGCGCTCCTTAACGTCGTTTCAGTCGATGACTGCAAGCTGCCTGGCTACGGACACCTTCGAGATGATTACGCCGCGTCTCAGATCGTCCCACTCGCTGACGACTAATTGGATTTTGTCACCACTGTACCCGGCCCCGTCGTGTTCTCCCCGTTTTCAGCCACCTAAGTCCTCGTGCAGTCATGCTGAGCGCGCGGTCGTCCGATCGGTATCTGACAGAAGCATCTCAGCTTCTGGCTCCGTATCCGTTGTTCAATGTCGGAGCGCACCCTATGGATCGCGCGCCGCTGCCGCTGGGCTGATGGTTAGGACATCACGACTCACAAGTCATGCCTTGCCAGAATGGAAGCCAAAGTGGACCGAATTCGCATTGCAGACGTTCATTGGGATGGAGCGCACAGTGCTGGTTATCAAACCCGAGTGGGATGACGAAACGCTCTTGCGGAAACTTAAGAAAACGTATCGCAAGAAGCGCGGTTGGCTCAGTTGGTGCTGTATAAGGTAAGCTGCAGCCAGCCCATGGTGTAAGTGCGACGCTCACATGTTACATCTAGGACGGTTGTAAAGGTGTGGGTCAGTAGACATGATCCACGCTATTGAGATTGAATGGAAGCTCATACTCGTGTACTCACACACAGGCACAGGATGACATTGTCTATCCGGAGCATGTGAACCAAAGCGCGACGACCGAGCGTTGTATCCAGCGAATGCGGCATTACCTCGATCACCCGGACGAATCGAAAGGTCGCCATGAGTTTATGGAAGCTCTATCCATGGACGAGCGCCATGGCATCGAGTACGTCGAGCGGTATAAAGCCGCATGGTTTTACTGCGCAGCTTTCGGGGCTGTCGTCGTTTTCTCTCTCACACCCTCTGTGATATACACTGTTCTCAAAGATGATGTGGTTGGCGGGTTCACAATTGGCGGTACGTATCTCATTCCTGGTCATTCACGATCTTGCGCCGATTAATTTGGCATGCGCAGTATTTCTCTTAACCTGTCTTTTGGCGTTTCTGACCGTGGCATCAATCTGCATGCCTGCGTTCAAATAGACGGTTCACTGAATTCACGCATATATCATTATTCATAAATATCACAAAGTATACCCCCCATTGTACTCCACAAATGCTCTTCCATTGTTGTTGTAACAGCTCACTCACATTAGTAGCGGTCGAACTCCTACATCATCGCATTATTTACCTTTACAGTAGCTGGCTACCCTTCCCTTAATGTTCTCACATACCACCACAAAGCCGTGCTCGCATACCCATTGCACTATCCATACCCTCATACATATCACATACCCATTACGACCATTCTCCAGAGATAATCACCAAGTAGTGATAGCTCAGACATGTAACGTAAAAGACTTCTCATGACAAGCAGAAATACAGAGATGGTCGACACATAAGCAGCGTGATAAACCTCGCCTCTTCCGCCACCACAACAAAAACCTCCTCAGTCGAAACTTCGTTCTGCTCAAAACGACGAGTTACAGCTCAGTACCCTCATACATAAAACATCCTCGTTATAACCATCCTCCACAGATAACCACCACTGATAGTTCAAGACGTGTAAAGTAAAAGACTTCTCATAGCAAAGAAACGTACAAAGATGGTCAACATATAAGCAGCATAAACCTTGCCTCATCCACCGTCACGACGAAAACCTCCTTTATCAACACTAAGTCCAGCTCGTGACAACGACCTACCGCTCTTCAAGCTCTTCAAGCCAGCGCATATGCGAGAAGTCATCAACATCCATACGATCCTCCTTTTCTGAGGCATCAGACTCCTCTGAGCTTTCTCCCAAAGGTCGCCTGATAACGCCATAACGAGGAACTGACTTGGCACCGGGGGCAGTGCCACGCCCGTCGCGCAAGGCGGAACGTGGCTGATGAGGTCCGCTCACAGCATCGTGTTTGCGATGCACGTCGGTGGGAGGGTTCGTTGACACTGAGGGACCAGCCCGTCGGCGTTCACCCGTCGCAGGCGAAACAACATGACCACCGGGGCCACGGGCTTGCTCCACACGCGCACCGGGACGGACCGAAGACGCCCCCGACGCAACTGGCTTTCGTACAGTATCACCAGTTTTCTTGAATTTTATCTCGGCATGCTGGTTCGGATAAGGAACAAGCCGCAGGGGATGTCGCGTCGACGTCTGCGTGCGCGATGGTCCAGCTGGACTAGCTGGCTGAACTGTACGGGCTGAACGAGCTGGCTCGTCAGCCTTGTATGGAACGAGATGCAATTGGGAGTGCGTGGGCGCAGAGCCGTCGGATGGAGCCTGTCTCGATGCTGGGAGGGTAGAGGAACCTGCGGCTGCACTCGACGCGGGGATGGGTATTCCCTCGAACTTTGGCTCCGGAATCGGGCTGTACTGTCGCTTTGTCCGGGGCTGTGTGTTGACTTTTCGCACGAAACCCTCCCGGCGGGGAATACGTGTCTGCCCTGGTAGTCTCTATCGAGACAGTGTTCGAATGCCATCAGTATTATACTTGAGGAAATCCGTGTGAAAGGCATACCTTAAACTCGTATTTGCAGACTAGATGCCCAGATTTGCCTTTCTGTCTCCATGCCTGTCATCAATGGTTAGCGCAATGACTCAGTGGTTCGTTAGCGGAACCAATGAAATTAGACGCACATCCACGACGCGATAGAGCCCGTCGTAACGGTACCTATAATCCGCAGCGCAGTTAACATCGCGTCCAGTACAATTTCTTCGCGGAAACCTACTCACCCACTTGCTGGAGCCCAGTCAGAATCAAGGTTATAACCCCTTACAACACGAACGGGCTTCCCCGTCTTCGACGATATCTATACTCGCAGTCAGATCCGAGATTTTTCGTGATCTCGCCTTACATACCAACAGAGACTTGTTTCTGCTGTTGCCGAATGTTTGGTCGAATAGTTGCGGGCCCATGCGGGTCTAAATCAGGCTCTGACTGAGCGTTGGTTTCCTGCGAGGACCCGTGTGAACCTCACCTTGTTGTCGCTACCCCCGCAGCCAGTGTATACACTGACAAGTGTCGAGTTCAGCAAGCTGCAATGGACCCGTTGAAGTTTCTTACTCACAAACTTTCTCCTTCATCCTCGTCGTCGTCATAGCCGCCGGACAGCACCACGCTGTATGCGCCCTTGTCCTTACTTCCGTAAATTCCAGCCATGATGCCGGGATGCACGGCGGAGTCGCTGCAAGCCAGCCTGTTCATTCGTTTCATTCAGCGATCTGGAGGACGCCAACGACAAATGTGTTTTCGTACCGACTCTCGAAGCGCGTCCCAACCTCGACACCGGGAATGTCCCCGAAGACGTCGCTACGTAGAACGGTCAGGTGTCATTGATCGTTGTCCAGCAGCCTCACATTAGCACTTACGGATGATGTGTCCTTTTTGCTCGGACACGTTGGATAGGGCCGGGCATGGTTCAAGTGAGGGAGTGAGATGCGATTACTGATAGCAGTAAGTAAGAGGAACAATACGATCGCCGTTCCAATTTTCGCTTCGGATTTAGTAATGCTGTTGCACGTGCTTGTCTCGGGACACTCCAGGCCGTTCCAAGAACCAAGTTGCACAAGTTGAGATGCTCGGAGCATTGAAGGCAGTTGCCATGTGCGTAACGTCCATTGTTCTTTCTATGATAAGTATGTAGCGGGAATGCAGCGCTGTCTGCACGTAGACCCTACTATTGATCGACAGTGCAGATCATCACTCGACCACACAGGCGTCATCTTCTCTCGACACCGGGCCATCAGTGCATCAAAGCTTGCAACCGGACCTTTCCCATGTCGATCTCACATACAAGAAAGCAGATAGCTACAAGACACAGGCCACGCGTTCGTCCTTCTCAGCGTCAACTCCCAATATCTCAAGGGACGAGGTTCAACCCGAACCCTCTCCAACATGCGAAAGCGTTTCCGGATTGTGTGATACGCGATGGCCGTGCTTTCAGTTGTCATCCTCTGATCAGTCGTGTCGCTCAGAGGACACTGTAGCATACTCACTTGATCTGTGAAGATGACCTATTGGAGAAGCGATGGTGAGTGACGAGTCCACGACACAGTGAGAATCTTTTCTGTTACCTTAGGCGGGTGCTTTACAGTGATGCCAAGGTCGCCAGCATTCTTGATGTCTTCCTCCGTCCGGAGGACCGCTTCTACCTGTTGTCACCAGGCTTTCTCAGCTGAAAAGAACAAACGAAGAACAAAGTACCGCCGTCCACCTTTCCTTCATGCGTTCCACCCCGTATACGGGTGAACACCTCGTCGCCAACCTTGATGGGATGTCCTTCCTTGTCCCGAACTTCGTGCTGAACGCGTGCTCTCAACATGATGGAGCCAACTTGAGATGGGACCGGGATATCTTACCGTCATGGCAGGATATGTATGCGATGGTAAGCTTGCTTCAGCGGCGATGAATAACGAGGCCGTGGTTCGCAAAGAAACTTGAAAGCAGAATGTGTTTATGTATTTACCGAGCTCGAATCGGAATGCCAAGCGACGCGTCATGGCATTACATAGCTACTGAAGTTATGCAATTAACGCCACGGCCGATCGACAGACCGATCGAGTACATGCATCGGCTGGCCACACCATTCCAGGCGCTCGACTGGCGCTCGGCGTGGCAACTAGGTAGAATAACAAGTTTGTGAAGCGAGCTGAATCCGCGCGCCCTACATGTGATGATCAATCTTCAGCTTCAGCTTTCAAATTTCAAGCTCAAGGATTGGGCTCACAATCCAGAGTTATCTAGAGCAACACGTCCAGATCCTATCCAGCTGTTTGGCAAACTTTTACACCTTGACGCATGATTGATGATTGCTGTGCAGAAAACCACTCACAGACTTCAGCACGAGCATGCGCGACCGAGTATATTAGTATATAGACTATACTTCATATTCGGGCCGTGTTGTCTAAATATATGCGGCGTTGATCACAAACAAAAAAGAATGCACAGAATCCAGAGTCCTATCCTCAGTAAACAATCTGATCATATAACTTGGCATGACTTCCATCCCTCGTATCACCCGAGAAGTCCGCAATCCGCCTTGCTGTAAGTCTACGTGGAGAGCATGTATGGCGGGTACAGCGTAATCTACTGGCTTTCGGCCTCCTCGGATTCGGCAGGGACCTTGTGTTGATGCTGGCGCGGGCGCAGCGTACTCGCGAGCGTGTCTCGTAGACATACATACGGGGAAGCAGCATTCTCGTCAACCAGAGCAACACAAGACAGAAAATGACAAACTCACTCATGCAGCTGTGCGCCAAAATATTTCGAGGCGCTCTGATGGGATGATGGCTTGTGCGGCTTGCAGAGCTTCCGGTGCCTTGGCCAGTCATATAGCTGGCATTGCCTCGGCGGCGAGCAGTATGGCGCCTTCTTGCATCGCGAGCAGACGAGCAACACGTTCTCTCCCTCGGACCCTCTCCCGCAAAACGTGCAGATCTCGTCCCTCATACGCCTCCGCCGCTTATCTTCCCTATCCACCACGTCCCATGTCGCCATATGCTCCACTCCCCGGCTGGCGAGCTTGCGCGTGCTGTCGACGCACATCCGCGCCGTGAGGCCGTCATTGTCCTTGATGTCGATGTTGCCGCCGCGCTCGAGGTACCACGCGAGCGCGTCCGCTGCTCGCTGCACGAGCTCTGCGTTCCGCGGTTCCCAGATGAGTGTGATGTCGTGCGCGGCCGTCGCGCCGTATCGATTCCGATGGTTTACGTCTCCCCCTGCGTCGTACAAGATCTGCGCGAATTCAGGGTCGAACGCAGGTTTGGTCGATAGCGCGTGATAAAGCGCCGTAGAGCCACATATGTCTTCTGCCTCGACGGGGAGGTTTACTTCCGAGACGAGCCAGCGCGCGATATCGAGGAGGTGAAGGCGCGCATCTGGATGATGGAGTGTCCCGAGGAGGAGCAGGGTGTAAATAGGGACTCTCGTCTCGCCCCAGCGTAGTGCTAGTAGATCCTGGACGGCGGCCTCGCGAGCAACAAACTCGGAGTTGGTCTCGGGAAGTAGTTTTGCGAGGCGGCCGAACCAGTCTGCCTTGACGCGTGCAAAATCGCCTTCGAAAAGGCTGCGGCCGTACTCATTCAGGTCGTGGATGGCATCGAGCCGATGGGCACTGAACCACCTTCGTAGACGGAGAGCTTCGTGGCCTTGGAGACTTCCAGTGCTGATGACAGTGAGGGTATAGATCAGACGTGTCAGGATGATGGAGGAGCAACTGTGGCACCGACCTCCGTAGCAGCTCTTCTATTGGTCTGGTATCGACGGCGCGGTCAACCGATGGCAAATCGATCAGTTAATTCAAACGTACCGACCATCCTTCGGTTCCGCCTGGGATGATAAGACATGTACCTTCTCCTGTAGTTCCGGATCCGAGAAATTCAAAGGAGTAGCGTTTGTAGAAGAGTTGTCGTTGTCGGGCATCGGCCAAAGAGGAACCGTGTCCTCAGTCTAACGAAGTGCCAGGAATAACTGAACGATTCTTCTAGCAGACCTAGTAGCGATATTCGCTATATCAAACTCAACCAGAACTCTAGCACACCGAGAGAGGCACTATGACAGGAGAACGAGCAGCCCCTTGAAGTGTTCTGGCGTGAGGTAGGCCCGAGGCGGGGAGTCGGGCTGCGAGGTGCGGGGTAACGGGAGGATCAAAAGCAATGATCCAATTGATTACAAACGGAAGTAAGAGTTCCCACGACTTGTCAAGTCTTACCATCGTACAAATCGCGTTCATTTTTCAAGCGGCTGCACGCGAGCGCTTCCCCAATCATCTCAGCCACCGCTCATTTCGCTCTCCTCCTACGATTTTCTCCACTGCCTACCACTCCGGGCGACGTCGAGCCACGTACTCACGGTCATTTCATCTCAATCTACTCCTCGGGGACTTCTCGCGGACGAAGGCTTCGCCTGCAGGCATCTTATTCCCGTCCACGTGAAAACCTCGGTTGCTCCGCCCAGCAAACGCCCATACTTGGATTTGCACATTTGGCGGCTCGCCGACAGCAGCCACCACGACGCATCTTATCCCGGAATCCATTCCACTGACGACCCTTCGTCGTCGGGGTCCCGTCGCTGGCTTTGATATCTCTGCGTTTGCGATGAAGTTCAGGTATGTGCCTCTGTGCTCCGGTGCTCTTGACTCTTGACATAGTCTCTAGCTCGTCTCTAAAGTTCAACGCCGTCCCCGAGTGGTGGGACGAATACATAGCGTGAGACGCAGATATATTTGATCTACACGTCGATAAGTTACTGACATCCCGAAGTTATGATGCCCTCAAGAAAGCCGTCTACCAGCTCGAGAAGCAACAAGCTGGCCTTGGAGAATCTCTCCTCGAAGGCCACGACCTCGAGGCTAATGAGGAAACTGCCCTAATAGGCCATCCAGTCGACCACCTCTCCACCGACAGCCTCTTTGTCCCTCTTCTCGACCGAGAGCTCAAGAAGATCTGCATCTTCTACGAGGCCCAGGAGAAGGAGTTGCTTGACGAGGTCAAACAGCTTGAGCGACTCGTGGAACAACAGGAGGAGGTTGGTCCTGATGCGGGCCACCAGTACACGGATGCTGACACCGATGACGACGAAGATGAAGATGAAGAGTACGAGGACATCCACAGCCTCAATAGTCCACTCCGGAGCCGAGAACCCACACGTTCGCCATCCCGTCATCCAAATCGTCAGCATTCTATGTCTCTGAGCAACGCTATGGGTGCTCCTCACGTTCCAGGTAAGCCTTCTAATCCCTGCACTCCCACTCACCCTCAGCATTGTCATCAGGAAGCAAGAAGAGGTTAGAGTCGGCGCATGCCCGTCGGTACAGCTTGTCGTCAGCGGATGATCACGGTGAACTGGAAGCCAGTATCGCCTCCCTTCGCTCCCAGTATGTCGAGCAATCGGCACAATCATCCGGATCCCATGCAACTGGGGCGTCGGCTTCTCCTCAGAACACGACACGCGGCCTCTCCAGCAAGTTAAATCGTATGAAGGACAGCATTACGTCGCTCGGCGCCCCGCCAACAGTATGGACAGCTAAGAACAATTACGCGATGGACATCCAGCTTTTGTTCAAGCGGCGTATCACAAATCTCTACCTGTCCATCACGTCGCTCAGGTCTTACGTCGAGCTCAACTATTCCGGGTTCCGCAAGATTCTGAAAAAGTACGTGTGCTTCAGCGCTTTGCATCGCATACATTCCCTAACCCTTTGCAGGTACGACAAGGTGACTGATAGCGAACTCCAAGAACATTACCTCCACGACATCGTCGAGCAGGCAACACCGTTCACTCAAGCTTCGAAGGACAAGCTATCCGGCGTCATTGCCTCCCTCGTCCAGCTCTACGCCAAGTGCGTGACACACGGGGACGTCCCCGCGGCGCAGCGCCAGCTCAAGCTGCATCAGCGCGAGCATATTGCATGGGAGCGCGACACCGTCTGGCGGCAGATGATTGGACAAGCACGGCGCGGCGAGACCGATACCGCAGGCCCCGCTGCCCTCGGCGGCTCGCTCGTGCTCGAGCCCGAGAAGAGCTTGCTCGATGTGCGCACACGCGCGGGACGCCTTCGGCTCACGGCGAAACAATTGTACCTGCTGCTGTCGCTCATAACGTTTGCCATACTGTTGAATGTACGAACTATCGATGGGGTGGAGGCGAACAGGTGTTTCGCGATATTGGTGTTCGCGACGATCATGTGGGCGACGGAAGCGATCCCGCTGTTCGTGACATCCATCCTTGTCCCGCTATTGCTTGTGTGTCTGCGGGTCATCCGTTCGTCTGATGATGAGGAGAGGCGTCTGAGCACATCTGAGGCGACGAAGTGAGTTAAGCTTGTTGTGTTGCTGCAGAGATCGTTCTGATGATATGTTGCAGGTACATTTTCTCCATGATGTTCTCGCCGACGATCATGCTGTTGATCGGTGGCTTCACAATCGCTTCTGCATTGAGCAAGACTGCCATCGACCGTGTACTGATTACGAAGGTGCTGAGTTTGGCGGGCACAAGACCGAGTGTTGTATTGCTTGCGTTCATGGGTGTCGCGTGCTTCGCAAGTATGTGGATAAGGTGAGTTGCTTCGACGATGCCAGTCCAGTTGTTCGCTCACATCATGCCAGTAACGTCGCGGCACCGACTCTGTGCTTCTCGTTGATCCAGGTCTGTTGCCCTATTTGTCACATATTGATATCAACCACTCATGCCGTCACAGCCGATCCTGCGGACACTGCCTGCTAAATCGAAGTTTGCGCCTTGCCTGATTGTACGTACTCATTCATATACCCTTACGGGAGCTCTTGACTGATGGTGTGATGATTCTCGCCGCAGCTAGGCATTGCACTGGCAGCAAACATTGGTGGACAGAGTTCGCCCATCTCCTCTCCACAGAACCTCATCGCTCTTGCAGCCATGGACCCTCCACTAGACTGGGCGAGCTGGTTCGCGGTAGCCCTCCCGGTCTCTGGCGTCTCTATCTTGCTGATCTGGGTGCTACTTCTCGTGACGTACCGGCCTTCCCGTTCGCCAGATGGAGAGTGTGAACTTGAGATAAGGCCCATCCGTGCCCCGAAGGAGAACTTCACCGCGAAGCAGTACTGGGTCTCCATCGTGTGTCTAGTGACGATCCTTCTTTGGTGCTTTGAGCATGAGATCGAAGATCTCGTGGGGGACATGGGTATCGTTGCAATAATCCCGATTGTGGCGTTCTTCTCTACAGGCGTCCTGAAGAAGGTATGGTCCTGTATTAGCATCCTCTGTACCCAATGTTGACTCTCGTTGCAGGAGGACTTCGAGCAGTTCCTCTGGACGGTCGTCTTCCTCGCGATGGGCGGTATCGCCCTTGGCAAAGGGGTCACCTCTAGCGGTCTATTAGATGTAATGGACGACAAGATCCGAGAGCTCATCTCGGGCCTGTCGCTCTATACTGTCGTCCTCGTGCTGTCGTTCATTGTCCTGGTGAGCATTTGAACGATATTTTGAGGTAGTGTTTCCGCTCACGAATTCTCTCAGGTTGTGTCGACGTTCATCAGCCATACTATCGCCAGTGTGCTGCTGGTACCGATCGCCAAGGAAGTTGGCAGCAACATGCCAGGAAACAGGGAGAATCTTTTGATTTTCCTTACTGGCCTGTTGTGCTCGACAGGAATGGGCATGCCTGTTTCCGGCTTCCCGAACCAGACAGCGTAAGCTAAGAACAGTTCATCTGGTCTGCGATATGCTCACGCCACGTTACACAGCGCGAACCAAGAAGATGAGATGGGTCAGCTGTACTTGACTAATGTTGATTTCCTCAAGAATGGCGTCCCTGCTAGCATCATCGCCATGATGGTATGTTATTTGCAGTTCAGTTGAGGGTTGCAGGTCTGAACGGTTCGGATTTTTGTAGGTCGTTGCGACAGTCGGCTTCCTCTTGATGCAAGTGATAGGGTATGTGTCTTTCGATCCTCTCCAGCGTGTGGATGGCTGATGCGTTTGTCCTCAGCCTCTAATGCTAGAACAATTTATTTCATTGTGGTATCATGCTTTGCTGCGAACTATTCTTCATAATAGATGCTTCCACATATTTGTTTTGGTCACTGAATGGGGGGCCAGTCCCCGATATCCACAAGAAGTCAGCGAATCTGTGTATCGATACAATCCTTGCTTATTTAGTTGTCCTTTGTGACGAGACTGTATCAACAACCAATTCTTGATGTCACGGAACGATATTTTGAGCAGCATCGTTGTGCGTCTCACCATCAGTGGACTGAGAAAGAAGAGAACAGTCATGATAGCAATGCCGCTGCATTGCTTGAAATGTATGCACGTATCGTTAAATATCCTCGTCATTACATGCGCCAGCGCACGGTGCCTAAATCGTACTGTTTATACAAGCATCTGGTATCCACCCTATATCCACCCATCCTTCAATGGACCAAAGCTCACATCAGCACTCGCTGTTTCCGTCCATTGACCTACTTATGGACTCCTCTTCCAAATGAATCAGCTCATCGCCTTTACAGTCTCCCGATACATCTTCCGGTTCCACACAGTGCGCACAGGACTCGTTGCTCATGCATGAGCACTCCGAACCGTCCGTGGACGTTAGAGTGCTAATTGTGAGCGAGTGTCGCTCATGGTCAAGGGGCGCGCCCATGCTGCCAACGAAGGCAGGGAACCGTACCGTCGACGGGGAAGAGCGGACGAAGGATGGCCCGCCATCCAATGACTCGTCGTCCGTAGACGAGACTTGGCGAAGGTTGAGAAGGAAGCGGGAGATGATGATGGAGGACAACCTGTGGTGTTGTCAGGGTGTCAAGTTCATAGCGAATCCACGAGAAGCTGACACGAACGATGTGACGAAAAAGGTGATGTCCAAGAACACCTGGCTCTGCATTAGTTTTGATGCCCTTGCGAAATAGAAGAGGACGTTACATTCGTGAGGGACAACACAAGATGGGCGACGTTCAGGACAAGAAGTACGCTGATGGATGGCAATCATCATAAGTCGTCGCTCTTCGAACATTGCATGCTCAAACCTACGCAAAGTAGATGGTTCCTGAAGACAATGTATAACGTCTGCGATACGACCGTCGTTGATGCATGCTGGAGGACGTACCATCTCTCAACAACAAAGTCACGATGGACGCCTTCATGTTAACAGCGACGGCTTCCTTCTTGATTCTGTACGTGTTCATCCAGGTTACAACCAATACGATTGTATCAGAAGCGACCAGGCACGAGCGCGTAATTATCAGCACTGCAACACAGCCGCGTCTTCAGTATCTACTAGCGTGTGAAATGAAAGGATCGCCGCACATCTGTTGAGCAGATACATGATGCAACGATCAAACTCAAGAAAGAGACGGCGCACATAGTACTGGTCGTTGCGGAGATATCACTGCCAGCATTACATGCAATGCCGAAACCTGGCACGTCAATAGTGGAGAACGACGCTCTGACATCGCTGAACTGCTTGCACTGTCAATACATGCATCTGCGGTTGGTCAGCAGTCCGGACTCACAAGGTTTGTGCCGACAGGCACCAGGCTCAACACCAGAGTGATGGAGGCAATTTGAAAGTTTCGATGGCCAACGGCGAAAACACGAAGAGCAGAGAAAACTTGTAGAATATCACTCATGAGACGCCGCGACGACAGTCGATACACAACTCACCGGCCCATACAACAGATAAAAGTAGCTGAAACCCTGGGAACAGAAGGTTGACCACCGCACAGCTGAAAATGTGTTATGTGAAATTTTGAGTATTGCGATTGCACAACACTGCCTCGTACCTCTAGGAACGGAGATTATGGAGATCCTATTATGCTCGATCGAATGGTGAACGCACTCACCTGACTGGTAGTCCATTGAGGAATGAGCAGTATCATGGACACCGCGTATCCGATACTGAACCATCTGTTGAGCGCGAACAGTGTACTTGCAACGGTTCTTTTGCGAGCCCATATAAGTTCAGCCTCTTGCGAGATCGTCAAGAGATTATCATAGAGGACGAGCGCTGCATCGTTCATGATATGAGAACGAAAAGTATGTCGACCTGCAAGGGGAACTGCATACCAGCAGCCGCGACAATGCAGTAATTCTGCGCAAAGCTGGTGTTTCATGAGTTCATTACCGCTCGAGGAAATGTGTCCATGTGGAAGTGGTGGACAACGCTCACCTCAGCTGCAATTGATACACCACCTCTGCTGTTTCATCGTTCATAGACATACCTGCTGTCGGAACGTCCAGCGAAATGAGCAGAGTTTCAAGGAGATGCGACGCAGGCTACATCGTACTCGGCGTCGTATATACGCGTCATGCGAGTCGATGCGACGAGGGCAACATCGTATTCGGCGTCGTATATCGCGTTACGCGAGTCGATGCGTGGCACTAACTTTGACGTATGCTCTTTAGAGTATGGGCTTACTTCGCTCGCTGTCAGTAGTGATGCCGTCAGTGCAGACGACGCGGAGCCGGCGGACGACACGTAAAAGACAATCGTTTTCTAGAACGGTGGGTTCATGATAAGCGATAAAGACTACAACATCAAAGTTTGGATAATGAGAGCGGCAGAGTCCACATATAGCATCGCACGAGATCAAGTGTTGTCCGAGAATATCGATGTATTCTGCCAAACAGGGCCAAGAACAAGATGAATCAAATCCAGGAACGCAGGATGAGAGAAGTCGTATACAATCAGCACTGTGGGTTGATTGTGGGTTGTGGTCGTCAAAGGTCGTGATCACACGTCAACAAAGGTCGTAACTATCATGTCAGGGCGTGAGACTGGGAAGCCGCACGGAACCGAGGACTGCAGGCTTAAGCTTGGGCTAATCCGTGACCTCTTCCTCAAATGGCAGATGCTGAGGCTACTTCTTCCATCCACTCAAGGAATTTCTGCCTGCAATCCGTCTGAAAACCACGCGAAGAACAACTGCGCAGACACCAAAGCCGACCAGTAGCACATAGGACGATAAACCAACGAGGGAAGATGGGTCGGTACCATCCTCATCGTCGTCGTCGTTACGCGTAGCATCCGAGGGACCAGAAATTGCACTGCGGATGAGATCGAGGCTTCGTAGGTTCGCTGGCAACAAGCGCTGGGTTGTAGCCGAATCATATTCGGGAGCTGTTACAAGAAGTGCTTGGTCGCGTTCCTGCTGGAGCCCTGACGTTGAGGTGATAGCGCAGCCGTTCGGCAACGGTTCCATCGCACGCGAGCGTTCACGCTCCTCTTCCAGACACTCCAGATCGGTCACCTTCTGTTCGACAACTTCAAGGCGCGAGCGGAAAGTTTCGAGAAGGGCTCGAGTAGCTGCGAGCTCATTCTCAAGACGTTCCTCCTGATCATAGAAAGCCTGGGATTCCGTGTGAGGGCCCATCAGCGGATGTTCGGTGCAATCCTCCGCAATCACGAGCGTCCCCGCGCTGTCGCATATTTCGAGGGTATTGTGAGACTCGGCGGGGGTAAAGACGGCGGTGACTACTCTCCTCTCTCCCTTATCCCGCCGGCTGCCGCTTCTGTTAACACCAAGAACCGTTCTCTGCATCTCATCCGCTTGGTCCGATGGCCCGAGGTCCGAGATCCGCTTTACGGTTACTCCAGGTTCGAGATCGAGCTCTTCCCACGCGCGGGCTCCCCAAGGGCCCTCGACAAGCTCTTGAGACCCGGATGCCATCAGAAGCGCCTCTATGCTTGGCTCACCGTCTTCTGCGAGTTTCTCCGGCAAGTCACCAGGCACAGACGGCTGCTCGACGGAGCTTTGGATTTGGAGCAATGGCTCGCCAGCAGGTTCTTCACTTCTGATCGAGTCGTTCTCTTTGTCAGGACTGTCATCAAAGCTGTCATTCGAGCTGAAGCTGCCGGTCCGCTCGAAGGATGCCACCATCCGAATCACTCTTCCGCTCCGGGAACGTCGCAAGCGAGATGCACCGTCTCCATTCTCACCCTCATCCGCAGATAGCTCAAGTGAGCTCCCCGAGGAGTTGTATGACGGTCGCGAGAAGAATGCCGTGTCAGGAGATGAGTTCGGAGACGCCTCGGGTCCCCAGATGCGGCCCTTCAGGACGTTCTGGCGGAGATCATGGGATGCTGATAGAATGGCTTCGCGCCACTTCTTGTTCATACCCATTCTGGGTGGTCAAGAAAATGAGGGGCATATTCAACGCCATACTCGAGAGTCACTCACTCCTCCAAGTCGGCCTCTGCAAGCCTTAGGAACGTGCGCCCGCTGATCATCTTTGCCTTGGCAAAGGCGGCGATATCTTTGGCGACTCGAAGGGGAAGGACCACAGGTTCAGACTCGCCTGGTTTCCCCCGTGATGTCACTCGGAGCGCCATGACGAGATAGGTGGATAGCTGGGAAGGTGTCCAAACTTTCGGATTGGAGGGGAAGTCTTCCATAGGCACAGAGCTTTGCTGCTCTTCATCGACGGGGTATGTTGGCAGCGTCTCCGCGCGTTTCTTACGATGTTCTGGCGGACTAGCACTGCCGTGTTCTTCAGTTGTTGGAGTGTCATGGTTGGTAAGCGATGGGGGTATGGGAAGTGGACGCAGAGAACGACTGGGAGACTCAGTGACAACATTCACGGACTTTGACGCCCTGTGGCCTTTCCTGCCCTCTGGACTGTAGTTGGCTTTGGGAGACAGCGGTACGTAAAAATGATGTGCAGCATTCACGTTGTATCCGGTAGAGTTGGATCGGGTAAGCAGTGCGGTGGTAGTCGTCTTGACAGCATAGGGATGGGGATTGGGTTTCAAGTTTGGATCATGTTTCATAGATGGAGAATAGTTGAGCCCGGGAGAAACTGGGGCCGGCAGAGTAGGCAGCGAACGCTCGGTCGACATAGTGTACAGAGGTCAAGGTTTTGAAGCAAGCAAAAACAGAGATCTCTGCATCGACAACACAAGTCAGATTTACTGGATCAACATGATGTGGGACCAAGACAAGGAATGGGTCCGCCGATGATGACAGTCTGATGTTTCGACCCGCAAGCGCGACAATCAGGCATCCCCAGCCCAGTAGAGCTCTTTAAACAAGGCGGAAGGTACAATTCTGAATCGGATGGAGATCATGAAGATGTGAAGGGACATGTACACCTGAGACAGTGCGCCCTCACGAGGGATTGCAGCACACTGAAAGAGCCCCGCCACAAGGCGCCACCCCGTACCGGTGGCACGATAACGAGACTGAAAAGTTTGCAACGACGTATCCATGAACACAAACTCACCTAACGAATGTGGCGATTGAGGACGGAAAGGCAGTATATGCAGGGGATCCGGCACCGACTCCTGCGAGAGACCGTTCACGCCGTGATAAAAACTGAGTCGATCCAGGAGCTTCAAGTTGAGCCCGTTCGCCCTCGTTTGGACGGCCTGAAACAACGATGTCAGCGAGCGAAATGGAGAGAGCAATTAATGGCGAAGACCCACCTCTGATCGCTCCGGATCCTGCAAAGAGAGTAGCGAGGGCACAGCGACCCGAACAGATGATGCTGAGTTACACGGTCAGGTGACTGGTACGCGCTGTACCGCCTGAGCGCTAAGCCTCAGTGTGGTACGCGTTTGTGTTCACCTCTGACACATGCTGGCTGCTTGAAACGGGCTCTATGTCCAACAGAATGACTCAAAGCCAGTAAGCCATCAGATTTATGCATTTGAGACTTTACGATGGCCCAAGCTCGATTCCTTCAAGGGCTTTGGTATCGCTGAATTGCCTGCTCTTGACTGGAGAGTTAAATGCGTGGGGTTCCTTGGAAAGCCACCAACGCGAGGATTATCATATCACTTATGAGTAAACAAGAACTGGGACTGCAATCGGACTCTCGCACGCTGGCATGATTGCATGATGAGCACAGACACCGCAGCGAGGCCTATATCTCCTCAGATTCTAAGACGCCACATTCAAGCGATCCTGCGTCAGGTTACGATCATCAGATAAAGTCCAGCAAGATGTGGATATATGACGAAGTCGAAGGACTTGACCCTTTTTGCGTCTGCTTACGTTTGAACGTCTTCGCGTTCTCAGAGGTATGGACTCTTCTATGGCCTCCGAATGTGGCATGGCGTGCGATATGTACGTAATGATTCGCTGTTGACACTCTCCTTCTCAGTCACCCTAATTGAGCACCCTTGCTTGACTATAAACCGTGATGACGGCCTGTTATAAAATGGACGTAAAAGATTCGTTCCTACTCTACGATGTCAGTTAAATATATTAGCTTCAGGGATAACCGAGCGCGGAAACACACCAATCTTCTTTCAAGACTGGAGATGGAGCCGTGAGTGTGCTCCAAGTCCTTGCCTCCAAGCAGTCATAATGCACCGAGAAGGATGCGTTCCTTTGTCGCGCCTTTGTTTTGAGCGTACCGTGGCCAGCCATAAGCAGAAGGTTCATTGTCTTTAACGGTTGCATCCATGGCACATGGAAGTACGAGATAACATGTCACATCTATTGCGCGATCCCTTCTTATTGACCCCACCCACTGGTGCTTTCAATTGCTTACGCCAAATGCAACCTAACGAATCAAGGGACTGCCAAGGCACATGGGTTGTCCATTCTTGTGACGCTGGCAAATTGCTCGCTGCGGACTCGCCACGTCCAGTACTGCCTACCCCATGAGTGAGCTTCCTCGCGTAACCTCATGATGTACAAACTAACCTCCCATCTTCCTCAATTCTCGTCCGGTCATACGGCCTCCCCCACACAAACCCCCTCGCATCCTGATCTCCGAACTCCGGTAAGAAGACTGCACAAACGCGGGTGCTCGGAGCACCAGATGATACGTCGAAGCCCTCGTTCTCCGGTCCCACTGAGCGCGGTTACTCGATGTCGGCGGTCCGTCCATTCCCTGAGTGTCGGAAGTACCCGTGGGCGTGGTCTGGTCATTGGACCCTCGTCAACAATAGCAATGAACCTTCCAATCCTCTGGATTCCTTCTTTGCTGCCTCGCGCACGACAGCCTCATTGAATGAGTGTTCTCTTCCCCCGGCAGATACCGTCTCCATCTCCCGTGCTTTCTCGAAGCCGCACTGAGGGCTCTCTCTGCTCCTCGCTCGCTTACCTGTCCTCTCATTGTCGCAAATTCATTAGCAGTACTTTATGTTTTTTGTTGCCTCTATGTTTCGTTTGCAAGACTCCGATAACTAAGAGAGAAATCACCCGACTATCCACCAGAGAAGACAGGGTCTCTCCACTATGTTATCTGATAGCCGAGGAAGCGACCTCGACATGGGTCGATCCTGAAGCACTCACCGGTGACCCTATGCAGGCGACGTCCTGACGGCAAGACACGCCGCATCCTCGACCCCACATAAATGAAAAGCGATAAGGGAGAGCTCCGATGGTGCTCCATTGCATCACTGGCTGGAAAGTATTACAGCACAGAGGTACACTACGCGATGCATTATACATGTGAGCAATGCTCTAGAGTAGACCCGACGGCATAATTTATAGTGTCACGGCAGATAAGAAAGCGAGCGCGCACCGCACGGCCGTAAAGGCGTGCTTTCATCACCTACCACGGACGCCAAGCGCGCTTTTCTGGATTGTAAGACTGGTCGTCCGGAGCTGCGCCGACGTGATGCCTCTCAACGAGTCGCTCCGAAAAATCACGCATGGATTCAGTGAGGAGGGGAGGAGGCGGACGCATCGATTGTCGGTCCCAGATGGGAGATAGCTGAGCTGATAGGCTGCTCTTTGCGGCTGGGATGTCGTTGGCTGCCGGGCGGTCAAGAGACGTTGGGATTAGAGGAGAGACTGTAGAGACCGAGCTGGCGGGGGACGAGGAGGTCAGAGACGGCACGCGACCATGACCAAATGATGGATCGGAGCTACACGTTCGATGGCCGCGTCAGCCCACGCGTCCCCAGAATAATTGCACACGTCTCTCACCGTAAGTCGGGGATCGTATGGCGGCGCTGATGAGAAAGCGACTCAGCACTACTGTGAGGCTCCTCATCCTCGGCCTGTAGACGTCTTAGGATGGCTATGGAGTCGTCGAAACCGTGGTGGCGCCCGGCGTCCATTGCGGAGATAGGCGGAAGTGTGATGGCTCCTGAGCGTTCACAATCCTCTCCTCGAGCCTGAATCGAAGGCAGATTTATAGCAGCTGAATGGAGGGAGCGATGGGCGGCCTCGTGAGATGACAATGGATTATGAGGATAAGGAGAGTATCGCATAGAAGCGCCCCCGTCCGAAGACGGCGACCTCCCGCGATGACTGTCCAGTTCGCGCGAGCTATACAACGGCGTTGCGGAGTACGAAGGATGTTGAGCCCTCTCGACGTACGGAACATGGAGCATAACTGGCGACTCGGATTGTACCGCCGGTAGGCAACCTGTTGACGCTGGCCCATGGTACAAAGGCGGCTGATTGAGTGGACGAGACGACATTTGACCACTGTGAGCGTTTGGAGTGGCAATCGGTAGGGAGGATCCAGGAACAGGGGAGATCACCGTCCAGCTATGCCTCGAATCGCCCACGTCGCCTTGATAGGTACGACGGGCTCTACGTTTCCCGGTACCCGGGCTGACAATCTGGCCATATCCTGGTTGGTCTGGGGATAAACATGTGTTGGGAAAGTTCGGGCTAACAGAGCATGGTCAGCTATTGTCTTAACAGGAAGTTGATAGCCGAGAACTCACCCGAACAGTGGCACAAGATCGTGGCGGATAGTCCACGCGACACTACGTATGTTGTAGTCGGCGACACGACGCCTTGATGGTGGGCAAGCCAGCGACTCACCGGCGTGCTAAACGAAGCGCAATTTCGTAAGGCATCCATGTGCCTTGAATCTTCAAGTAGCCCCCACGCACGCGACGCAGTCGTGACGCGAGATCCGGCTGTGAGTCTATGATCTTGACGATGTCAGCTGCAACACCAAGCGTTTAGTGCCTGAGCGAGAGTTCGCAAACCCATTGAGCATACCTTTATTGTTGCCTAAAGCTGTAATACAAACACCATACCAAATTAGTAAGCTGCTCGAACGGTTAGGTTTTGTGAGCCTCTATTGACCTTTCCAGATGCCAGTCCAGAGGACATAACCGTCATCCATGTCAAGCATGATCCATTGACCGTTCAGCGGGTACTCGTACACAGGTCTGAACACGACGTCAGTATACAGAAAACGCCCCTTGACAGCCCCAGCTCACATATAACCTCGAGGATCATTGCTTGTAATATAGCGACCTTTGGTGACATGATGATTGGGGCTTGCATACGGGCGGAACCGCGGTCCCACGTTGGGCTGTTCGGTGCTCGCAGAAGGCATTGGATCCTATGACGAGAAGTTGACTCAGTTCATACGCTGATGTGTGTATCACCCAACGACTGAACTCACCAAGAGTAAGCCAGACGACATGCTGGCGGAACGATTACGTCCCAGGGCCATTGACCTGCGACGCGGGTGAGGGAGTGGTCAAGGATTGCGGACAAATAGAAAAACAGAGTTCATCAGCTCACCTCAATAGGAGCGATTTGAGACTCAGCGCGCGGGGATCACGACGTGAACGAAACTGCGGAACAGAGGCGCAGAACACCACGATAAGGCGAGACCTGTTTCTCAATAGGGATAGCAACGCACGCAGTACCGACGGGAGATTACGACTGATGGGCTTTCATCACCGATGCGACAAGAATATATAGTCACAGCGGCTCTGGCTTCGAACCGTCGCCGAGTCGTTCCCTTCGAAAGGAAGGGCTGCTAGAAACTGTGACAGATTAGGCACCGAGCCTCGGCTGGACCGGTTAGATACAGAAATTCGGACCACGATCAGAAATGTGGTGCAGTCAGATCCACATCTGCGAGCACACCCGCCGTGGTCGGTCTTTCGCGGGACGCTGGCAGTAGTCCGGTTAATAAGCTCAAGCCGCCGAAGACGAAGGCGAGGGGTGGTTTCCCCGCAGCCGCAATTGATGGATATCCACTTCCCTCATTGACCCACGGTGGCGACTGCTACTCGACGTGATGTATGGATCGCTCAGTCGACACACACGCTGACGAGATGTCATCTGGGGCAGGGGATGCCCGGTGCTTGCTGCGGACGGGGCTGATATTCGATTAAGCGGTGGCAAGGCCCAAGCTCAACTGTCGGTGTCAAGTGAGCGGCGGCTTAGCGGAGGGTCACGTACGCATGTGTCCATGTGGCAAGAAAATAGAGTTGTATGTTGGCTAAGCACCTGGCGGGTCGGAGTGAACGACAGGCTATACACATTCTGTTGCTTCTAGTGGACGCCCGGAAGGATTGGGGCCCGGGCGGCCGCTGCCAGGGTGAACCGACCAAAAGCGGAAAGAGGGACTACACGCCTTTAGTCTTCGATCAAGTTGCAGATCCTCCGGCCTCGAGGGCGAAGACGAATACGTCACGGGGAGGATGACCCTGAGACCTTACACCTTTATCCCGCCCGTGCCTTGTCCTCGTGGCCGCCACCCTCGACTGCGGCCCCGAACGGAACCGAGATCGTGCGAACCAGCCCCGCCGGCACGCGTTCGCTCACATGAGGCTGCCAATGTCCATCAATGTCAATCGCGTATACTATATAGCACAGTAGGCAGTTTCCGAGCCACGCCATCCTGCACGACAAACTAACTTTCAAACGCCCTCAGCACATCCCGCACCTCCACCGCGCTGACTCCGCTCCCAGCGGTATAGATAACCTTGCTGACGTCGAACCCATTGAACTGGCTCGCCGCACACAGGGTGTATGCCCCCATGTTGTCAAACGCAAGCCAATCTCCGACCTGCAGGCTGCTGGGAAGCTGCGTCACCGGACAGACGCAGTCGATAGAATCGCAAGTCGGACCCCACACGCTGCTTGCACGGAGAGGCACGCTCGCGGGCACATGGAAAGAGCCGTTCAGCGATAGCACATACGGCTGCGGAGCTTGGTGATCAAATAGAATGCAATTGAAGGACCCATAGACGCCATCGTTGATGTAGTCTGAAGTTGAGCTTTAGTCAGCGAAATGGTACCAAGGTCCGACCAAATGAGACAGACGCACACATCACCCTAGGGTGCTCAGGGTCCACATCATCCTCAGGGGAATCTTCTTCCAAAGTCGGAGGTGCGCGACGAGCGATCACATTCACCGCGATACTGAATGCCTTGGAGACGTAGAACCTGCCAGGCTCCGCAATTATTCTGATGTGGGCCCTGTCCGGGAAGTGCTCATTGATCGCATTCTTCAGAATGGAAGCTGTAGTCTCGAAGGTGTCATCCTCGAAGCCACCTCCAACGTCGAGGAGGGTAAAATCATACCCGACTTCTTTGCCCATGTCGAATGCCGAACGAGCGCGCATGACGGCGTCTGCGAAAGCCAACGAATCGTAGCACCCACTTCCCACATGGAAACTCACACCAACGACATCCAATCCCAGCTCCTTCGCCTTTCCCAGCAACGAAGGCACAGTGACAAGCGGCGCGCCAAACTTCAGGCCCAGCCTGCACAGGCTCTTTGAGTCATCTGTTAGGATGCGCACGACCAGTTTGGCAGATGGATGGCAGCGTGCGATCTTGTATAGTTCGTCGGTGTTGTCGAATGTCATCATGTCAACGCCAGCCTTGGCTGCGTTACGGATGAAGGACACGGCTTTGCATGGGTTCGCGAAGACGATCCTGGAGGGGTCGACGCCGACGTTCGTAACTTGCGATATTTCTCCCATGGAAGCGCAGTCGAACCCTGCGCCGAGGCCCGCGAGAAGGCGTAGGACAAAGGGGTCGGGGTTGCATTTGATAGCTAGCCAACAACCAACTCAGACATGACGTTGACAGGTCAGGGCTCAGACTTACCATAGAAAGGTTGGATTTCCGGCAGGTTGGCCATCCATCGCTTGTGTTGCTGCAGCACTCGGCTGAGATCTGCCACGAAGAACGCCTTCTCTGCGTCGCTCTCGCCGGCGATGGCAAGATGAAGGGCGTTTATAACGCCATTCCTTAGATGGATATTCGGGTGCCCACGAAGCAGAGGGGGGAGTCCAGGAATGGTCACATCGGCATCATCCTGAGCTTCGCCATCCTGAGTGTTCGCAAGGGGGGTATCGTGCCCGTGGGCGATATGGGGGGCGGTTATCAAACCATTGATCAATGCATTCGCCAATATCCTCTCCTGGTGGGAACGCGGAAACGAGGCTGGAAGAGACGAGGAGCACGCATTCACATCGTACTCAAAAGCAACAGGGCTTAGAGCGGCGAGAACCTCAAGTTGAGACATTGATTCCGGTACAGGAATAGGTTCTGGAGAACCAGTGAGACGAAGAAGCGAACCTATATCGGCTGTTTTGAATGAATAAGAGAGCAGGGCTATGGTCCAAAGTTGCTTCAGATGAGCGAAGGCGGAAAGGTTGAATGCGCAAAGTGGTCAACGGATTTGAACCCGAAATTACCGAGCCTACCGCCGTAGCGGACTAGGGACGGTAAATGGGTTGCGTCAGTGGCGGTGGGGTGTCCTCGCTTTTGAGCGAGGATGAAACTGTTTCGAGAAGCTGTTGAAGTTGGCCGGGTAGAGAAGCGGAATATAGTGAGCGAGGCAGTGAAACCTTTTCGACGTGCGTACTTCAGAATCGTGTAAGCCTGTCAGGGAGGTTCTCCTAAACAAAAACCGGTGAGCATCCGATAACCAGAATAAATGTCGAAGCCGGACGGACCGCGGACAGATGACCACCTTGGAACCAACAGTCAGAAAAGCAGGACAGCACAACTGAAGCTCTGTTACGTACTCAAGGGTCAAGAGACGAAGATCGTCGTTTCGCGCCTGGTCAGGAATGGTGGCAGGAACGGGTCTCTGTGTCGCAGCTACAGAAAGCAGGACGACGACAGAGGACAAAAGGTTGCGGGAGTCTTGCTGAGCGTTGCGGGCGACGGGAGGGGGCCGTGCACGAGTCGCGTCCACAGTTTTTCTGTCATCGATTACACTGTCTCGGCGTTCCCCGACACTGCCATGTGCGCTGCAGTGAGCCAATTGTGGCACAGCAAAATTAGCTCCAGCACTCGCATGGCGGTGCACATATCGGACCGCCGTGAAGGCTCGAAAGCGCAAATCACATACTGGTCGCTACATAGTACACGAGATTTGTGCTAACGGTTACTATACAGTGCGAAGCATGCATCTATCGCAAGCTCCGTATATCATCATGCTTTTCCACCGACTTCGTTACCGTTATCATGATGATCTCTTCGACTGAGAGCGGCACTATCGCTAGTAACAGTAGTGGTGCTGGCCGTAGTGGGAGGACCCATATGACTTGGACCTGAACGCGGCCGCAAACTCGTGCTAGCGGTCGGTCCTAAGGGCATACGGGACGGCACTATGGACCCACAGGCATCTGGCCTATTGTGGTGTGGATAGGGATCTGAATACCTGGTTGCGACCGAAGTGGAGTGACTCGGAAACGGTGTGATACTTGCCATGTTAGCTGCTGGATCTACTATAGATGAATGCCGAGCAGTTGGTGTACGCCCTCCAAGGGAAGCGTGGGATGATGAAGAGGAAGTCGCTTGTTCTTGCGAGTGTGGGACGTGAGAAGCGACAACCGTGTCCCAATCGAGCAGACCCCCTAGAGGTAAGTGCTGTACCACGACGCGCTTGCCCAGCACTTCTGCCTACAGGGACGGATAAAGGATAATCATAAGTGAAGGTGGTCTTGGATAACGGAACCCTGCGCGTACCTCGTACATCTTGAATAACCCTGAATTTACCTTGGCCCAGGAAGCAACTCCGACAGCGATAGAATGAAGCTGAGATGAATGTTCATGGAAGGGACCATGCTTCACCTCATGGATACGCATGATCTGCATGAAGTATAAGTTGGTCGCCGGCAGAGGTGAGCGCAGTACGGCTGAGACAGGAATTTCAGTCTGATCTATAAAGTAAACGTAATTAGACGAAAGTCAACGAATCTGTTAGAGCAAACTCACCTCGCAACTGCCCACTGCCGAATATGTAGCCAAGGAAGTGCGAATCGTCTAAGCCCCAGACACCATGACTTCCGGCTGGTTCCAGATTATAGACGTCTTGCAAACGCCAACAGAGACGCAGATAGCGGACGAACACACAGAGCACGAGTTCCCGCTCGTAAATCGGTTCAGGCAAGAAGAAGCGAATTAGCGTAAGGCACAATAGAAGCAGCGCGAAGGACGCTTCGTGACCCGATCCGTAATCCATGCGGATAAACGAACCGAAGGACGTAAGGAAGTACGGTACCACATATGGTATGGCTGGGTGTAGCTGTGCGGGGAGTAACGAGGTCAGAAGAGTATCGGCTTCCTATGTGACCATCAGACGGGGCGTCTCACAAAAAGGTGGAAGAGATGCGTACGGTTTCCAAGCGTCTGCCCCAAGAACGAAACGCAAGGTTACCAAATCGCTGCGGAGTGGGTAGAGGAGGGATCTCATCGATCCAACGGTCTAGCATATCCAGTGTAGAGATCATCAATGCTGTCGCCTGCGCAAGGGTCCTCAAATATTGAGTTTGATAAGATAGACAAGACGGCGACTCACTTCAGACATTGGCTCAATCCAGGGCAAGGTGTAACCCACAACAGATTCGTTAAGGCGCCGGAGGAACAAGCCATAGTCCCGGTATCCGCGAGTTGATTTCCAGCGTTCCACATCATAGTCTGTATGTATTCTTTTTGATGGCAGGTCGCTTACGAGAAGCTCTTGAATGGAGACTTCGCGAAGAGCAGGTAGGGCTGCCATAGACATTATACCACGTCGTGATGCCCGGGTAAATCAAAGTTTCGGTACAGCACCCGTGCAATCTTCTGTGCGGATAAATTTGCTTCACGTCTCGAAGGAAAAGCCAGGTTCCTGCATCGTCGTGACAACCTCAGCATCGTCTCTCAGTGACACGGAACTCATCGCACTGAGTGATTATTCCTTACGCACGGAGTGGATAGCACGTCGTAAATTTCTGCGACCAGTGTGTCGAAGCCTTTTGAGCAGGAGCAACGGATTTTCTGCCTGATAATCAGGCCTGCAGCACAGCCGCGAAGGCTCGTACTGAACTTATGGCAAGTTGTGGCAACACGTTCACATCTCAACACCTGACCGGAAATGAGTGTGCACGTGATCGGGTGTACCAACGCGACGCGCGGGCAAACAGATCCTCGGCGCTCGTGAGCTGGACATTTGTGGCGCTGGCGAACAGTGAACTCCGAGCTTGCAATCTTCAGCATCCCACTCATTGAGCAAGATTCCGCGCTAAGACGCTCTCCTGATATGGGTGCTTACGACGAGTGGAACAGGGTTGATGAAGATGAGGAGGATGAGTTGGAAGATTATTCGGTCAGTAGTATGCGATCAAAAGTCGTTGTTGACAGAAAGTTTATGAATGAAGTTCCCTTAGTACCTTGAAGCAAAAAGAGATGTCATTTTGTTCTGCATTGACTGCTCATCCTCCATGCTGGAACTGTACGACGACCCCAAGTACGAGAATGTGCAGACGTGCCACCTGCTCACCGCGTTAGAAGCTGCTATGCAGATCCAGAAGAAGAAGGTTGTGGTAGGACCGGACGATGCTGTTGGGATAATGCTTTTCAATACGGTAAGCTGTGTTATATATTAAGTACAGCTCGCAATATGACCCGCTGTGCTGAATAGACCAGGAGGAATGAAACCAGCGGCGAGGGTTCAGAAATTAAGCAGGGAACTTATGTGTACCAGCCAATCAGTACTATCAATGCTCCTGGGGTACAGGAACTCATTCGACTTTTGGACGGTTCGTTTAGAAGCATAGAAGTGTTGCCAATTTACAATGTTAACTCCTCCCTCAGCTGCTCGAGAAGATCCGAGCTATTTGCGTGAGACATTCCAGCCGATGACGGGCTCTCGTGTAGCTATGGGGGATGTCTTTACTAGCTGCAATTGGGTGTTTCGGGACAGGTGAGGCCCGTATGTTATTGACTGGCAGAATTCGCTTGATGTAGACTGCGTTGCAGAGCGCCTAGATCAGCGACGAAACGCGTCTTCCTCATCACGGACGAAGACAACCCACATTCAGGACCTGCAAGAGACAGACTTGTCATAGCTGCAAGAACTACACTCATCGTCCGTGCATCTTCAAATGCAGGTCTCTGTTGAGCTTGGTGTTGACTTCCAGGTTAGGATTTGGTACAGGCAGGAATCACGGTGGAGCCATTTTTTATCGCTACTGAGGAGAAGGGTTTTGACAAATCCAAGTTCTATTCCGTACGTTCCAATTGGATATGTTCCTTCACAGTCTCTCTGACTTTGCTATCATCACGCGTTGGAAAGTCTGTGCTCCTTCCTAGCAACATCGTAGACGACGATGAAAATAATGCCGCGGTCCTTCCCGAGTCGATATCAATTACTCGAATTGAAGACCTTCTGGCACAAATGCGTTTCCATGAGGTACCAAAACGTGCACAGTTTACCGTGCCGTTCGAATTGGCACAAGAATTCGTCATTGGTGTCAAAGGGTATGTCCCAGCAGGCTGTTTCCGCCGACCATACTGAATCATGATTCCCCACAGGTATAGCCTCGTGACTGAGCAGAAGAAGGGCTCGTACAGATACTTCATTGACCTCGAAGATAGGATGGAAGTCGTCGCATCCAGAACTGTTTACGTCGATGAGGCATGATCGTCCTCACCGCTTGTATGTTTTCCAGGACTCTTCTAACTTACCATGCAGGGCGAACAAGCGGAGGTGGACAAAACAAAGGTCCTGTATGGCATGGAACTGGGAGCGGTCGCTGCCATAGAAGAGGCGCAAGAAGAGTCGGACCGAGAAGGCATGTTGGGCACCCGTGTCATAGCTGCAAATAGCCGGGTATGTCTTGACCTTTGAGGGCTCTGCTGACTTCGTGCTTACAGCTTCCAGGTCTTCTACACCGCGGATGAATTGCGATCCTTCCGGACAATGGGATTAGACCCTAGTAAGATTGCCCACCCGCCGACAGTGTCAGCTGTTAGACTCTGTTGCTTGATGCCAATTGCAGCGATCAGATTACTTGGCTTTAAAGATCAGTCGGAGCTCGCCTTCGAAGACAATGTCAAACATTCCCTTTTCATTTATCCGGACGAAATGGTCTGTGAAACAGACCCTTTTGTTCTCGCGCCATCTGCTCATCACGCACCGTCTGGTAGAACTATTCGGGCAGTAAGCGCACATTCAGCGCGCTCTTGAAGACCATGCTCCGTAAGAAAAAGATCGCTTTGGTGCTTGCCGTCACCCGGCGCAACGCCATCCCCACATTCTACGCGATGCTTCCTCAGGTACGTCCATTTGTCCATGCCCGCGTTTCTCACACTACGGGCATGCGGACGAGCCCGAATGCTGCGCTACCAGACATCCCTTTGACTGCTTCCGCGATCGTGGGAGCGCCCGGAAAAATCTTCGTGCTGACGGTTGCGAATTGCCGCAGGCAGAGAAGGTCGAGGAAGGGGGATGGCACGAGCCGCCGGGTTTCCATCTCATACCGCTCCCATTTGCGGATGACATCCGGCCCGCTCCCATCACAGAGGGCGCTCGCGGTACGTATCTCAGAACTCTGTCCGCTAGTGATGCTAAGCATTCTCGTCCTCTCCTCCCTCGGCACGTTTTCATTGATTCGACGCTGATCAATTGGCCGCTAAAGCATCTGATGAACTGAAGGACGCGGCACGCAAGTGGATAGACAAGCTGGGTGTCAAAAATGGCACATATCCGCCTGACGCCTATCCGAATCCTGGTAAGATCTGGCCCCTGTCACGCATCTTTATGCGCTCGCTTATGGCATCTATGATCCGTGGTTTCGTGCTACTCCCGCGCAGCATTGGCGTATCACAATGCGCAGCTGGAAGCAAGCGCGTTCCGCGAAGAATTTGATCCCGCGGCGTTCGAGGATCTGACGGTGCCGAAGTACGACATGTTGCACAAGGTACCGTCCATGAACGTTTTCGCGGCTCTCATTTCCTCGGATAACGTTATGATGGACCCTTTCGTCCGATGACAGCGTGCCGGAACACTGATGAGTGCTTGGAAACATGCCTTGCCCAGTGACGGCATCGCAGCTCCCGTTCCCTCGCCGACCGGATCGAAACGCAAAGCAGTGCGTCATCTTAGAGTTATGCCCTTTCGGCGACACCAAATTAAGGACACCTGCCACTAATTTACAGGACATCAGCGTAGACGAGGCGGAAGTCCGTAGCAAGCACGAAGTGGGTACATTAGACAAGGTATGCTGACCATGCTCTGATAAGAGTGTCGACCACGCTAATTGTAGGAAATATAGCTCCGAGTGGATCAGCTCAGGGTGGGTCCGTCTTAAAATGATGACGAGTGCGAAGTTCCAGGTTTGCGGTAGATGCTGCAGGCATCTCGTCATCTGGGAACAGCCCTGATGCTTTTCTGACTGCAAATTGCTAACGTGCGCTTGAATCTTATCATGGCTAACGAACGGGGTCGTTAGGAATTCTTGAAAAGCAAGAGTCAACCGATGTCAGGGAGGAAGGCAGAACTTGTCGAACGTGTTTCAGATTGGCTGAATGAGAATGCATGACGGCGCTCTCGCTGGCGACCACTCTAGCTGCGTTCGCGCTATTTATACAGTCCCGCCTCGTTCCTGTGTTGTCTAGCATTATGCAGCTCATAGTTGGACGATGTGTTCGTGCCACCTGTCCCCATCATTGACAATTCTATTGCATCTGTGAGCAATCTGCTTGCGCCATGTACCTTCGGACATCGGTGTGAGCCATTGAGACGAAACGCCGATGATTACTACTGCCTCGGCGACGAGAGTGAGCGTACGGACAAGAGTATGTGGCCAACCAGAAAGTGCCTATCGTCAAGCCTTCGGATCTAGCCGAATTGCGCCATCTTCATCTTATCAGACCGAGGCGGTTTGTCAGGAGCCCGCCGTATACTACCTGCTCGTCGCGCTCGCTTTCGTTTGTTCTCGCACCACCCAGCACTATTGGATTGCGCACTTAAGCCTAGCAGACATGACGGCTCTTCCAGAGAACTACAAGGAAATTACCTCTGCCGAGCATTTTCAGGGCTTGCTCTCTGCGGATCTGCAGCGGGTCTCTTTGATCAATTTCTGGGCTCCATGGGCAGAGCCATGCAAGCAGATGAACGAGGTTGTGCTGGAACTTGCACGGAAGTACCCTCAGCTGCTTGTCCTTCAAGTGAGTTGCAGTGGCTTCATCAAAATGGGGCTGATCAGGTTGATCGAATGGGCCACAGGTAGAGGCCGAGTCACAGTCTGATATCGCTGAATCATTTGAGATCGAGGCCGTGCCTGCGTTCATCGTCCTCAGGGTGGGTCATGCTTTGTCCTTGCGTGAAGCAACTGCTCACAAACGCGGTTTTAACAGGGGCATACACTGCTCGCTCGCATATCTGGTGCCGACGCCACTGCTCTCACAGAGGCAGTCGCCACCCACACGCGTCCTGCGTCGTCTGTGAAGGCTCTTTCCCAGACAGACCGTGCGCCTGCTGACCCCGAGAAGGAGGAGACACCGGAGGAGCTCAACGCTCGTCTGGGGCGTCTCATGGCGACGGACAAGGTCGTTCTCTTCATGAAGGGCGAGCCTGATGCACCTCGCTGCGGATTTTCCCGGCGTATGGTCGCATTGCTGCGCGATCAGGGGGCACAGTTCTCCCACTTTGACATCCTGTCGGACGACAAAGTGCGGTCGGGCTTGAAGGTACTAAACAACTGGCCGACTTTCCCGCAGTTGATCGTCAACGGCGAGTTCGTCGGTGGTCTTGATATAGTGCAGGAAATGGTGGAGAATGGAGAGCTGAAGGATATGCTGGCATGAGCGATGTTTTCAAATAGTGTAGTCTCATTTTTTTCCTTCTCAGGATGTAACTGTCATGTTGTTGGCATTGTTTCTATATCACAGATGTATGCATACTCGATGAAGCCTGGACAATCGTGCTGCTTCCGGTTTGTGTGCTCCGCTTGGTCGAATCAACACTGCGGTGCGCGAAACGCCACAAGACACTCATCCAGCACTCTAGAACGTACAAGTCGCGGAAGAAGTGATATTACATATCGCCCCAAATCCATATGGCTGCAGCCCTAAGATACTAGATGAATGGGCAATAGCAGTACTGCAGGCCAGCGTAGTCTCTGTACCAAGCGACCTTCAGTGTCTGTGTTCCTCTTGGGTGACGAACTAAACCCCTTACTCGATTGCTTCGGCGGACTGTACCGTCTCCGCTTTTCCCGCATCGGGTTCTATTCTCCATCTCCCTCTCACCACTAACCGTTCCTCGCGGTGGTTATGGCGGGAGAACTGTTCGGCCGCTCTCCGCGTCCATCGACGGACGCGCATGATCCATACAGACGTGATGGGCCGGACACGAGGGAGATAATATGAGGCTCCGTCCTCCAATCTATCGTCGAGTAGGACGTAACGGTCCGATCGGAACATCAGTGTGGATTGGCGACCGTCCAGGGAAAATATAGCAACAATTGAAGGATTATCGGCCGGCACAGTGTATCGATGGGGGTGCAAAGCGTGCTGGTGGATGCCGTACGAAGCTTGAAGCTTGATGGCCCATTAGTGATCAGGGGTTGATCGAGTCCGAGGCCAGGGACCGCCGCACGTGTGCGAGACAAGCAAGCTGGGCCCGAGATGCAGAGATGCAGAGATGCTAGAGACAATAAGGATGTCAAGCCGTGAGAGGCGGTAGCCCAAGAGGAGAAAGGGCCGATCAAAGGACAAACCGCTCAAGATTAGGAGATTCCGCGAGAGCCGCCGATTCCCTTAGACGTACCAAAAAGGTATCTTCAAGGAGAGATGCGAACGCCTTGCTACCGCTAATGAGCCAAAGAGATGGGACTTTATGCCAGATGCTCCTCGGGGTGCCTTCCTGGAGCTATTAAGATCGCTCCTCGCGAAATCTACCGCTGAATTCGATACGCACGATCCACGGATGGAACACGAAGCGAACATGAGGACCGCCACTAGCACCGACCTAACGACCGTGACAAATTAATGTGTTAATGTTAGCAAGCGGGACGCCGACTTACAGAAAGGAAGTCTCCAAGGCTTCGAGGGAATCACTTCGCCCGTCATGCCCATTACAGCTGGCACGATGGCGAAAGGGGAAATGCAGACGTGAATTTCAAAAATGTTGCGGAAAGTTCAAGCTATCGTCTCGTGCACTCCACTATGATGCGCTAGCAGCATTGGCGAAGGAGCGACGGAGACGAAAGAGCAGTTTGGAATGCTATAGCTAAGCACTCTGGCCCCAAGGATCAATGATGCTACGGCTGGCCCTTCTGCGCTTCCATTCGTCACTCTACCGTCTTCCGTGCTAGAAAGTACGATTTTCATTGCGACGCTTGGCCAGCTCTTGACCAGATGTGGTATGACTTACATAGACTCGTGTATCTGTTGGCGGACGATGTCAAAGTCGGGTGACAGTGGGCGGAACAACAGACACCTCTCGAGACATTCGTCAACATCACAATGAGAAGACTAGCATGCTAGAGACATTCTAGAAGACTGCTGAAGTTGTAAAATTATAGGCGAGCTGGACAGTACAGGTGGCCTGTAAGTTTTTCGCAAGGGGCCTCGCGCAGCCTGTGCAGCCACCAGCGCGTCTCGGTCACGTGACCACATTTACGGACCTTCCGATGCGGGTGTTTTGTTTTGCCGTACTTACGGTTGCCTTTGCCATAAGTTGTGCGGTCTCTGTACTCCCGGATCCTCGCTCTTTAACAAGGTCTTGAGAAGAAGATAAATCTTATGCTCAGCTTCTTTGGCATGGGGTCAAATAACATAACGCTCCCGGAACATAACTGCTTGCTGCCACACGCTCTACGCATCCCTTCGTTGGAGAAACTTGTCGGGAAACGTGTTATTCTTGCGTCGAACAGTCCTAGACGGAAAGGAATATTGCAAACATTTGTGGGTTTGGACTCTTGGCTTTCGAGTTCTCAAGCCTGATTCGATGCTTGCGCTACGTTGCAGGGTCTCGCTCCTGAGATCGTGCCATCCACCTTTGATGAAACACTACCTGTCAGCTCGTTCGAGGACATACACGAATATCCTGTGGCTACGGCTACTCATAAGGCGGTGGAGGTGTATGAGAAACTAGTAGTAAGTCTGATTATCCGCGATACGTCTCGCCCTCTCGTCATCGCATCACACGACACTTGTGAACGTTGTAACGAGAGACTACTATTTTTTTTGCTTGACCATGATAATTGAAGTGCTTGGAACAGTATACTCACTCATGCCCTCATGCTGTCTCGCACATTTGCAGCAAGAGCATCCGGATGATGCGCCTGATCTCGTTATAGGAGGTCGGTATTAGACGCAATCATCCCATGAACATCGCTTAGTCATGTAACGTAGCGGATACTGTTGTCCTCACTCATCCTATGCCTGGCTTATCCAGTGTGCTGGCAGAAGATACACCGTTCGGACCGCAGGACTTGCTCGAGAAGCCCGTCTCGAAGGAAGACAACTTACGCATGCTACTCGATCTCAATGGGGGCGTCTGTGAGGTAGTGACGGGTATTTCTCTAGGTGCGTCCTGTTCTTCAGGGACAATGAATAATCCCACTGATTCTGAGTAGTCTATCCCGTCTTGGAGGCTCCTGGATATAATATCAAGTGCGTGGTGTACACATGATGAGTTTTGAAGGATGCCCATGGGTCCTTTCTCACTTATACAACAGGTCGATAGAGGAGCGTACGCTCGTCCACTTCGCCGAGAATTCTCGAGAACTTCTACAATCGTATGCTGAAAGCGGCGAGGGGCTTGATCGTGCAGGCGGGTTTGCGATCCAAGTTCGTACAACCTCTTTTCTTCCACCTGATGTCAATGTCATGTTCATCGTTTGTTTCCAGGGTTTGGGTGGCATGCTCGTTCGCAAAGTTGACGGGGACTATCATAATGTCGTTGGGTTCCCGGCCGCATCATTTTTCAAGTTTTTGGATCTGCTGCTTGAGGAGGAGCCAGATTTTCTCGCAGTCTAGTAATACTAATTTGTCGGACATGTACAGTAGCTTTCCAGATTTTCTCTCTCGTTTTTGGACGGAAAAGCCATATAAGGCGCTAAAGTATAAGATTGAATGTATCAAGTGTCATTTGAGTATACATACTTGAAATGCACGAAGCCTTTCGGGTGAGAAGTCTGTGACTGTAGCGTACTAAGTCTGCACTCATGACATCCAGCCAAATTCATCAGAACGCAGCGGACGGCTCCTAACAGTCGGGGTATTTCTGTCAGCATTGAATGCTCTGGTGGAATACAAATGTTTTTAAAATGTTTGAATAGATGACGCTATCAGCGCTTTGATGTGATAGGACTGCTGCTGACTCCTTAAAGTAGATGCTACCACTTGGCCGTATTGCGCTCAGGTACTCACCCCATCTTGCCCTGCGGACAGCATGCTCATACGCCTGCCGGCGACACTTCACCCCTATATATCCTATTTCTGTTAAGTCTCCAGCGATGTCGAACAAAATACCATCGATCCCTACCGTCCCATATGTTCGCGAACGAGCTGGTGGGCTGCTGTCTCAGACGAAATACGACTCCATCCTCTGGGCTGGAGTCTTTGGCTCTGTCTCCAGAGAGAAATCACGCCCCGACTCTGACATCGATATAATTCTCGTCTTCAAAGACGTCCCACCTTCAAAGAATGATCTTTATGTAGCGTATCTTGATGAAGGTGAATCTTGTAGGACTTCCCATGCCAGGTAATACGTTTATCTTTGTGGCTGCCTCAATCAGACCTCCGAGACGTCTTGGGAAGAAAGGTCGACCTCGTCTGGCTCGAAAAGCGACAGATATGGGGTTATATCACCCTTGAAGCTCTCCTTTCCGCTCGAACAATCCACGGTTCTCTCTCAGATATCCAAGACCTCGTAGCGGAAGCCGAACGCATCTTATATGATGGAATCGAGACTGCGCAGACGGTCCCGAAGCTCTGCTCTCAAGTGCGCGAGAGGCTGGTTCCCGCTAGATCTGATGTAGAGGTGCTGTTTCTTTTTGAATATGGCAAAACAGTCAATCATCCTGGATTGAATAATGATCTAGGTTTTCCTCCAAAATCCTGTCATGAAGCGAGACTGTCTGCGACTACTGCGCGCGATAGCCTCGCTACTCGACTTCGAACCACGTGGCCACCCTCTTGAGACTGCATTTGCAGTCTTCGGTGGCGATGTTGCGCGCAAATCGCTCATTCCCCATGTCCTCGGCGCTGACTTGACCGATGATAAGTATTGGAGAAATCTATGGCATATCGTTCATGAGGTCATTCCCCAGATACAGCGGGGAATAGGAAAGTGGGGTTTGATCAAGGTCCGGGCGACAGAGGCACTGATGCGGGTGGTGCGCGCGTTGGATGCTGGAGAGCTACCTGATCCTGCCTTAGTAGAGTTTCTCGAGACTTGAGAAATTGAGTAACGACTGCTCAATTTGACTTGCTGTATCGAGTTTACATGGTTCGCTACAACGGATGGTGATGAACTCGCTATATTTTCTCTGCAGAACTGCGGCTGCATCCAATATTCCAAAATGGACAGTTGAATCAGGAAGAACGGGCGCGTGGAAGAACATATTTCGCTTGAGAGCAATCAACTATGTAGGTATACGTAATTCCATTTCGGTCATTTGTCAAGCTCTGCAATCGCCGCCTCCAGCTCCATCTTAATCTTCGGAAGGTCTTCATACACGCTCTTTGCCACTTCCCCCCATTTAATCGGCGCCGCCGTCACGTACTCATGCGCGAGCCAATTCCTCCTGCTCACACCTTCCTTCAGCACCTGCCATGGATCTTGAACCGCAACCACCATCTGCGTCGGCAAGCGCCCGGGGGTCATCCCCTGCGCCCTCTGCATCTCTTGATGATTTTTCTGACCTGACCCCCTCTCTTACACTGGCGATACGCCAGGCTCTCCGACCTTGGTCGGCTCAGGGTCCCGCTGATTTACTCGCGGACCTCGACTCTGTCATCGACGCAGTTTTTGCGGTACAGAAGGCCACCCGACGAGTGTTGGTGCTGGCGGCTGGGCGCTGCAAGCACACGCACCTTCCTCCTCTAATGTCCGAACGCCTCAAATCAGCCCTCAAACTTTTCAACCCGGCACCGGCCTCCCAAGCGGTGGTCGAGCCCCCGCCTCAGCCCGCCCCTCCGACCACCGGACCCACCCTCACGGCGGCTCTCCAGGACCTTCGCGCCGCCTTCGACGCCAGGCTTGATGCCTTGGAGACTCGAATGGTGACTGCGACCCCCCCGTCGCAGGCGATGGCCCCCCCTCCTCCCCAACATCAGGTACGTGGCACTCCGAAGAAGCGCTCGTACGCGGCTGCAGCCGCTAAACCTCGTCCGGCTCCTCCCGTGACGACTCCGAACCCGCCCGCTACCCCGAAGGCTCCTAAGCCCAAGCAGGTTGCAGAGCCCTTGCGGTACGTGGTTCGATTTACTGGCTCCACGCCAGTCCACTTGCTTCAGACTCCCCCTGCCCAACTGGTCAGTGATGTGAACGCAGCACTGGCTGCGATTCCAACTGCTGGAGGAATGGCTGCGCTTGCGGTCTATCCGAGCTCCTCTGGCAACATCGTCCTGGCCTTCCCTCCTGCCACCTCCTACCGCCACATTGACGAACATCTCCCGACCCTCCGTGCTGCCCTCAAGATCGACCCGGATCACCATGTCTCCAGGGACGTCAAGTGGTCTCGGATTCTCATCGGCAATGTCAGCACCCGGGCAGCCCCTGGCGGCGCTGTCCACTCGACGTCGACCCTGTCGACCGAGCTCGTCAAGAATCCTGCACTTGCGCGCCTTCGCCTCACCCAACCTCCGCGATGGGCACGTCGACCTGAGCAAATCGACGGTGCTCGCTCGTCCGTCGTCCTCGGATTCGAAGACCCGGATGGCTCCATCCTCACCGCCCTCCTTCAGACCCCCCTATTCGCTTTCGGTACTCCCGTCACCACGTCGCGCTGGCGTGATAAGCCGCGCCTCCGACAGTGTACGAGGTGCTGGGGTTATGGCCACCTCGTTGCAGGATGCACGAAGCTGCCCCGGTGCCGTGTCTGTGCTGGCCGCCATCTTGAATCGGTGCACCGCGCTCGGTGCGCCATGTGCGCGAAGGAGAATCGCGCCGCCTCCGACCCTTGCGCTCATGCACGCTGCGTGAACTGCCGTGGTCTCCACCACGCCGACTCTGACCAGTGCCCCAAACGCACCTCTTTCCGGAGCGCTGGCCCCGCTCCGACCTCTTCTCTCGAGCGCCCCGTGCTGCCCGCTGCTGGCGACTCCGATGTTGCCATGTAGGGGCGAGTACGACTCCAATTCCACCACCACCCTCCCTTCCTCACATCTAGAGCCCCCCCGCCGCCCCCCCCCCGCAACAAAAAGCAAGCCCCCAACCAAAAACGGGACAAAAAGCCCGCCGAACAAAAACTAAAACCAAGGGAACAAGTTTTAACCAACCCGCCGCCGGGGAAGGGTCCCCCCCGCGCAACCAATCAATCCGGCCAATCCCCCCAGTCCTTCCCCCCCCCCCGAAAACCCCTTGGCCGCCAAACCAACCCCCCCCTCCGCCCCCCGGCCGGCAAATCAACAAACCCGGGCCAACCCGCCTCCCCCCAAAGGTCAAACGGGCAACAAGCCCCCCAACCCAACTTGCCCCCGCAGGGAAACAAGAACGGTTGGGGGGAAGAACCTGGGGGGTCCAATCCCCCTAAAAAAGGGTTCCAAACAAGCAAACGAACGAACCCCGCACCGGTTTCCAAGTTGGGCAAGCAAAAGCAATTTGGTAAGGTAACCGCCCCCGCCGGGGCCAAGAAAAAACCTAACCGGCCTCCAGCCCCTCCAACAAAACGCCTGCTCTGTTGCGTCCGTGGGGACCTGGTGTCCGTACGTTAAGCTTCTTCGCCCCCAGATGCATCTGGTCCTCCGTTGTTACAAGACATGTATTTACACACCTCCGACCGCCCCTTCGGGGCGGGATATAAATTGTATTTAAAAAAAATAAAAAATAAAAAAAAAAACACCTTCCTTCAGGTTGAGGTAGACGCCCGTAAAGCGCTGGCCGATCTCTGAGTTCGGATTCACGGCACGCAAGTTCTGGATAAATGCTTGGAACTCGAGTCCAGCCTTGGCACGCGCATTGTCTTTGGCGCTATCGCTGATGACATTTTGACTGAATAACTGGGGAGATCACTCTCCTTCAGACCGGGGTCCGAGAGTTATGGAAAGGGCGAAGAGTACACTCACGGCTTGGTCGATACCCGCTGCGGTGACGACAGACTTGATAGTCTGTATGTTTTTCTGGGCAAGCAAATAGCTAGCTAATGCTTTCTGCGCCGCTGGCGTGGCAACGGTATGGTGGTGGGATGGTGGTTTTGCGTGACTCCATGATTCCAGCATTCCCACGGGTGAACGCGAGACGCTCTGAATTTTGCTCGAAGTTGAATTTTTTCTGAAACGAACTTCAGTTTTGCCCACCTCCCCACGCATTGTCCGGCAGGACAGAAACCCTGATGTACTTTAGTCGTGGGACAGATCGCGCTGAACCCTATGCTTGCACAGTTTCAGACCACGTCTTTCTCTCTCGCACAGGCACACAGAGTGCAGCGGTACCACATCGCGAGAGCATCCGAGTCGCCGAAAGGTATAACAGCTTCTTATCTGTGACTCCATCGTGTATGGAATGCGATTCATATTGCCTTGGGCATAAGCATGAAATGAACTTAAGTAAGAGTGGCTCTCTATGTCCGTACATCACACTCTATAATCTGCATCATGAAAGTTGATATTTGTTCAAATCGTTGTGTACCGGCCCGCCTTGCGTCAACGGAGTCGTGTGGTCACAAAAGGACGGCAGTATCTGCTGACAGCATTTTAAATTCACCACATGCAGCCCGCAGTGGCTGCATGCTGGCGACGAGGTGACCGTGACTATTCCGAGAGGATCTGCACTTTATGCATGACTGGTGACCAACCGAGCATAGCAGAGCACGAGAATTCAACTATCGAGAGAGCGGATTGTCATCGGGCCATCTGCAGAATTGATTGAAGGGGTCAAAATGAACCCGAGGTGACCGCAGCTACGTATGTAAGAGGATCAGCGGGACACGTATGATCAGGGATGCATGGGCATTGCCGTGGACAACATTGTCAGTATCGAGCATCAATATAAACTCAAGGGCGATGATCCGTGATACCTGCAGTCATACCTGCTTGTATATCGTGAAGGGGACGGGGGAAGATGAGGAGTTGTGGTTTGGTGTCGAATCAAGCCACAAGTCTTTTCTTGATGTCCATAAGATATCGAAGTGAGCGAGCAACAGGACCGTCATAATCGCGTGAAAACTCCACTCATTGCCGTTCGACACACCACGGTAGCAAGACCGGTAGGGGCTCAGCTTCAATCTCTTTCGCCATCGCTTCTGATCTATCTGATGTGCCTGACGACTGAAAGATTATCGGATTACGCGACAACAATGGATCTGGGTCATATAATCATTCAGCTCCCGGCAGGGAGAAACTAGACAGGTTGACACATTCCTGACAGCAGAAAGACGGTTAAGCAAAGGTATATGTCCACTGCCTTGTCCATCGGGCTCTGGGAAAAGATGAGGGATGACAATGGAGGCCATGAACAAGACATAGTTCCAGTAGCTTACGGGGAACGGTGCAGGGCGCTAGTATCACAGATATCGCTAAGACTTGGTCTGAGACAGACGACCAGCAAGAGTTGAAAAAAGGGCGCGAGCATGCACGCAGCACGAGTCGGAAGGCGAACATCAAGCCGCGTATAACTCGGAAGAGGATGATAGCCGCGCAATGATTGATTCACCAGCATTTGTGCTGGATACCTCGTACCATTGTAGTGTTTGTCGCGTGAGCTGTATAAAGTCTGGCTTAATAAATTGCGGCTAAGATCGCGCTAGGTATGCAAAGACGCCCTTAGACCAAAGTGAACCTCAGCATTGAGGCTTGGAGACGGTAGCTGCCAGACCGAAGCCTCCAAGGATGAAAAGAGAAGCATCGAGTACTTCTGGACACAATGCCAGAAGCAAAGATCCATCCACCTGCGGCAGCTTCTCGAAACACGGGCGGGATCGGCGATGCCGAGAAATTGCTAAACTAGGCCTGCATGCGCCGCTTGCAAAGGACTGAAGCGTCGGTAAGAGCGAGGGCGGGAGCGATTCACCACATGGGCAATCAACTCATGCACCGAGATTGGACCGAAGGCAATTTCAACGACGCAAGGCACAAACACCCACGGCCGTGTACTTGTTCCCTTGCGCGAGTGACGAGATGACAGCGCATCTGGACGATCAGGCATGTAGAAGGCACCCACACCCTCATACAAGCATGTACCTCTTGTGGCCAAGTCTAGGTTATTCGGACGTGGAGATTCGCACAGATGTATGATTCGTAGCAAACAATGGACGAAGTTCATTAGGCGGAGGTAGTGTAAGAACGGAAAGTGACAAAGTCGTATTGCCGGACGGATTGCCGCTAGAATAGGGTTCGAGGGCGACAGCTTCGTGCTGAGAACCTGATCGACAGCAGGAATGCAGTTGCAGGGCACAAGACACAGCGATGTGTCAGCCGAACGTAATGAGATATGCCAGCAACGGTGCACTGCGCAGCACATCACCAACGAACACAAGTACTCGCGGGAAAGAGCATCGCTGAGCGTATGCTAGAGGACGAGTGGCAGCTTGAAGTCGCCAGCTGCAGAATGAGGGCCAGCTGTAGCGAGAGGAGGCGGAGACAACGTCATGCGGGGAGAGGGCCTAGAGCGACCCAGGCTGTCACGTGGAAGACGCCCGAGGAGGGAACCTAGTGCAGTGCGCGCAGACGCTGTCCTATCGTCCTCTCCGCTTTTGCCTTCGTCCTCCCCCCCACGCCTCCGCAGCGGCCAGCACACAGCTCGCTCGCAGCGCACCCGCTCTCCGTGCGACCGACCGCCTTCTCGCCATGTCCTTTTCCGATTTCTCGCCCATGCGCAACGGCAATAGCAATGGAGTCAATGGAAATGACTCCTCTTCCTCTCGCTCCTCCTCTCCCTCAGACGCACCGGCAGATATCCCACATTCGTCTATAAGAGGCCATGCACCACCGCCACGCTTGCGCGTCCTCCTCCTCCTCGACGTCCAGGTCGCGCCACTCTCCGATCCGCCACTCGGCGTACCGTCCGCGCGTACTGTCGGCCCGAATATCGCCAAGGTACTCGCCACCGCGCGCGCCTCCCCACCCGCGTCGCGCCCGCGCATCGTCCATGTCCGCAATGCCGGTCATTCGGGCGAGCCCGATGAGCCTCACACGCCTGGTTGGCAACTCGTGCACATGCCACATCTAAATGAGCCTGTCCTCGACAAGCGCAAAAACAATGCCTTCGCCGGCACTGCCCTCGCTGAGCATGTCCCACCCGACGCGGAGCTCGTCGTAGTTGGTCTGCAAAGCGACTTCTGTGTCCGGGCAACATGCAGCGCCGCCCTTGGACGCGGGAACGAGGTCCTGCTCATCAGAGGCGCTCATGCGACGTACGACCGCGTAGAGTTCTGGGACGGCGGTACCAACACACCTGCTGCGCGCGTAGAGTCCGAGATTGAAGAGGAGCTTGAGGAGGCTGGCGTTGTTATTCTTGAGATGAAGGATTTGCCCAAACTATTCTCTGACCATTGACGCTGGCAGACCGCGACGAGCGGACGAGTACACGCGCAGAGGACGCCTTGAGAGCCCAAAAGAGCGCAGGACCAGAGAAAGGACGTTGGTAATGAGAGACGAGGCAGACAGATAGGATATCGGAGGCAGAGGCATAAACATTGTGTGAGACGGTCGACGGGTTACGGTTAGATTTCTTTTGGGGGGTGAGCATTACTCCATATATTGCATGCAGACCGACACGGACAAACGTTGGGCTGGTTTCTCTTTTACTCACCTCATTGTACGTCATCACATCCCCCCTCTCCCACGACATAGTAGAATGACCTGAAATACGACTTGAATGCGCATCGATTACGATACATTTCTATTGCTTTCCCTGTTTGTTTCGAATTCGATATGGTGCAGGTTGTGACTCACAAGATTGGGCCCTCAAGGCGTGGGCCCTAATGTAGACGTATCGGTGTAGATCAATGGTAATCTGTCTAGTTGGTTCTGCCCGCCATCTGTTGGGCGATCAACGGCACAAGCAGAAAGCATTTGAACGGATACCAGGGAAGGGTATTGCAAGAGCACAAGCACGCTGACAAAAGATTGCATATGGGCGTAAGACTGAGCCACGCATTACTGCGAGGCGGAAGGGTCAGCTTGCGCTGCAAGCGAGAAAAGGGCGTACCAGGGTACCAGATGCAATGTGCATATGCGCTTTATATATACGCCTATTCATTCGATTGCACGAAGCCGCAGACAGCTATCTTTGTCTCAGGCATGCCCACATGGAAGCTTCCCTACCCGTTTGCACCTCAGAAGCGCGTTGGACGTCTTGCGTGCGTGCTTCTGCTGAGAGGGGTGCGGATCCTCGGATGTTCATGTGAGGCACCTGTATGCGCGAGTTTTGCATGAGGGAAGAGGCAGGGCAAAAGGGTATGGTCGCGCGTCATTTGCCTCGCATCTGTCACTTAACGTGTACGATGGGTAATACGGACTCCTGGCGAACATGACACATGCGAGTTCAGAGGACGGGATTTTTTGCCGTGTGGGTGAATGATCTTGAGGAACTGGCAGAGAAAGGACGTATGCACATCGGTGGACTCGGCAAGCCAATTTGAGAGACATGCGATCTCGCGTGGTGGGCTAGGGCGGCCTTGTCGTAAGGGTTCGAAGACGTAAAGTGAGCGGGCGTGAGGCAGGATCTTCTGCACAACTTCCACGGCACACCCGCATCGGAAGCGTGGAAATCGCAATAATTGAACTTCCCAGAGAAGGGCACTGACTTCTGATACCACACGACGCGTTCATTCGCGGCCATATCCTCTCCACCTCTGCCTCGATGTCATGGCTAGGGCTCGTGTTTTGGACACAAATAGAGACGATGAGCAGGATGTTCGCGTGTGCCATATAGAGAGCGCTGGACATTGACCGGATGTGACTTCGCTGTCGTCGCCAGCAGCCAGCACAAGTACAGGAAGAGGGAGACTGGGAAGTGGGCGGTTGAGAGAAGAAAGAGAAAGACGGCTCAGCTTATCGATGGATGAAAGCAACTCGGCGATGGGGAAATCGACGACTGAGTGGCCGCGGAGTGTGGAACGGCTGCTCGTCCCGTATTGACCCGCGCCGCTGCGACAGCTGCCAAGGCTTGAGAGTGCAGATTCCGGCGGATTGGCGGGTTTTGACCAGGATTTCCGTTTGATCAGGATTTGGCTTTCAGTGAAGATAAGCAAGCGCGAAGTGCGTCTTGGAGGACTAAGAGGTTTGTAGGGAATACTAATAGTTCACCCTCAAACTTTACACAAGTCACTCAGTGCTGTCTGTGGTGTTCGGAAGCCTTTGAAGAGCCGCATGGATGACTTTGTGCCTGACTTTCAGTGATCCTGCTAGATTATTGTAGGCCTGATGAGAATTAGCTCAGTGAGCTCAGTGAGAAGACATGGAGGATTGCAGGAATTTATTTGAAGATTGATTGATTATATTGTGCATCTACCAGAGCTGTTTGAAGACTTTATGTCAGAAGCATGCTATTGCACAGGTAAGTTGCACAAGGCTTATGCAAATTGCCATCAGGCTAATCCTAGCTAAGCTACCAAAGTTCATACTGATGTGCAAACATACCCATAATCCTTGTGGCTTTGCAATCTAGCTACGAATAAGCTCGTTAGTGAAGCATCTCCTGATATGGATATACTATTGCCATTTGTAGGTAACACCCCATCATTCTCCTCTAAATGACCCGCCGAAAACCAAATGCTCACAGCTTTTCATTGGTAAAAAAAAAAGCCATTAAGGCATCAATGCATCATGGATTGGCCCTCCCTAAGCAAAGATAGTGGATAGCCACAGTGACCCTACATGACATTTCTGTGAAGCTATCATTATATCTTTGATAGGTCGGTGGTAGCTATAACCCTGTAGACTACCCAGATGCCCTTGAACGGTTCAGAGATCTTTCTGCAAGACAGCCTGATATCAATTTCATGGTGGCGCACAAGGCTATGCTGGTTTTGTCAAAGTAAACTGAAGTACATCAACATATGAAAATGTCCAGAAGGCCGCAACGATACCTTTGTAGAAATCCGGTGGCACCGGAATCTGCATCGTAGTGTACTCGTACACGTAGCTAGCGCATCACGTCACATCTGTTTCTTTTCGTCTTGCCTCCCGAATTATTGACTTGTATTATATTAGCAAGGGAACTCGCCTTCAAGGATCCGCATGCAGCATTTTGATCAAATAAATAAGACTACTGGCACCCATTTCAAGTTACTGTCACCCGAGAGCCTGAACTGAATGGTGCAGTCTCCCCTGAAGATTCGATGATTCGGGTATTTAGTTTAGTTGTCCAGGGTTTATTGTAGCCACAAGTTTTAGGACAGCATCAGAGAAGTTGGTCAAGCACGTTGTTCACGGGTGAACGGGTATGTAGTAAAAAGCACTAATGGGTAACAATCTAGTCAACGATGCAAGAGCACAGCACGGAGAGTGATCACGCATCGTCGATGATGGCAGGAATGTAGAATGTTAGGACACCGCCTGCGTCGGCTATCTCGCCGATATAGACATAAAGGATGATACAATGTCCTTGGCATATGCCTGAAATGCAAAATGAGCCCATTGTGCCAACGCAGTACTGGGGAAGCTAATAGATTGCATACAGGCAATTGTCGTCGTAGATACGATATGGCTGCCCAAGAACTTTGATAAGCTCTTGAGCGACACTACCACACCGTACATGCGTGTAGGGTCTCGTCTCTCCGCATCGTCATCTGCAAAGGACGATCTTGGATCCTGACTGCTTCCGTCTTGTGCTGTAGGAAATGTTGTTGCAGATTTCATCAAACACAACACAAAATTTCGGAGCTGCACTCACTCATCTTCGGGTTCGTCAGGTTCTTCCACGAGACATCAACGCGTGCATTGTCTGTGTGGGCACATAACTGCAAGCAACCAGACCCGCTCGCACGCATTGCAATGACGTCTGCAGCGAGAGGGCGCATACGTTCAACCACCGTGCGTAGCTTTGCTAAGGGCGGGAGCAGAATGTGAACCTGAGATACGGGGAACGACGTAGGGAGCTCAGCCATTTCGTACCAGAACCAACACGCACCTCAGGCTCGGGGCACATTGGCTCTTTCAGTCTGGCGGTATCCTGTGGTTTCATAACCTCTATTCGCACATCGTGTGCCACACGTATCCGCTTGTCCAACCGCGTTCTGCCGCTGATCTCGAAACTCAACACCGCCTGGTCGTTCTTCTTCGCCAACCTTCGTTGCTAATCAGAACTTTTATCCTTCGTGCTTGAGCGGCAACATACTTCATGACAACCTCGCTATCTGACGCGAACGACGTACTTGCGGGCGATGACGCAGACCGTAGTGCAGACGACAGGGCTTCCGTGGAGAGATTAAGACTAATCTCATTATTCGCATTCGACTGTATGCGGTAGTCCGTGAAAAGAGAGGGCACCTTGATCTGTCTGCAGATGCAATCCGGATAGTCATCAGCTTGTCTTCCGCACATACGCTTTTGATACCGGTACACGTACGACCAAACTTGAATACTGCCCTCGCTTGCATCACTATTGCAGATGATATGCATCTCATTCTCCGTAAACTTGATGATGCATCGCTTCTGCAGCCTCTCTATGGTTTGTGCGATCCCTAAGGCGGGTCAGCTTGCTTCGGGGAGGCCGCGCTTGTTCTCACTGTAGAACGTGGTCACATTCTCTATGTTGGCCCGAAAGCGCATAGCACCGTGTCCCCTAGTTTTCGACGAACTATTGAACTATCTCAGCACTGAAAAATGGGGCAGCAAGTTCAGGTCGCCTAGCATCAGGTAGTGGTGTGGCGTCCAAAGCAAGTCCAAATACGAGCGTGTCGGGATCGCATACGCGGTCACATGCTCTACAGCATCGCGGCAGGCTTTAAGCCACATCGTTCGAAGTCCACTAAGCCAGCGTCCGCATGTTGCAGTTCGAGTCTGTCCAGCACTGGCTGCCCGGTGGACGATAGTGACGCCGCTGACTGATGAGGCTCAACATGCCATCTACTCAAGAAGACACGTTGCGCAGCAAGATGGAACTAACTTGATACGGTACAACACAGATAGCAACGACATATATGACCAATGGAGTCCCTGTATCAAACGCGTTCGCAATGCTATTTCAATCAGCTTTCCCCTTGCTAATGCTTTCCTTGGTCGAATGCCCCAGCCCACTCTCTCTCCTCGGAGGATGAGATGGCAGGGCCTGCTGTGTGGCAAACGTTGACGCTTCAGGTATAGGCGAGCTGGGGAATGCAGAGCCAGCTTCATTCGCAGGGTTCGGCGTCGGAGGGAAGTGCGTGTAGAAGCCATTTCCAGCTGACCCTGGCGTAGGCGGCACGGACGGCCCACCAGCGTATGGTGATCCCGCAGTCGCAGCCGTCGGAAAGGGCAACCCTGTGGTGGAAAAGGCCGAGGTGCGTGGTGAAGGGCCAAACGAAGGAGACGATATTCCTAAGCCCAGACCGGAGGCATTTCGACGGTGAGGAGGTGGAGCACTCGGATGCGGGCTTGAGACGGAAGGGCTGTAAGGCGACGACGGGTACCCTGCCGAAGTCGGGAATCCAGCGGTGACAGGAGTTCCTGCATAACTTCCATAAGGGGTACCGCCCTCTACAGTCCAGCCCGATCCTTGTCTGACAGCTCTCCCACTGTTCGAGCCTGGACGCAACCGCAGGTCGGCGCTTCCAAATCGTTTACGGATACCGACACCAATGCCACTTGCTTCCGCTGCGACGATGCCTTGCGTCCTGTCCACACCGGAGACGGCCTCCACGGCACGAGTCGTGATACGAACTGCATACCCCATGCAGACGAATATGCCACCGACGACGCCGAAACATCTGTCGAAGTGTTAACGTCACCGTCCACGAAGCGCATCTCACACACGAACCTGATCAGTAACTGTACGAGAGTGGTCGTCCGCTGATGGATTGTCAGGCTGAGCGGTTCCATATCAAATTTGAAGAAAATGCCCGGAGTGCCGTGATGGCTAGCCAGCTTGCGGGTATAGTGCGTCACGCTATACTGATGAGTATGCAATGGCGCGGACCGCGGCGCAATGTATGTTGTCGGGACGACATGGAGATAGTACTGATATGCCACGAATGCTGAGGAAATGAACAAGACGTCGGTTCTCCGCTGAGCGAAAAAGGATGGCTGCGGCTTACGATCATGCGTCAACTCAAAGGAGTCGTCGAGAGGCTGAGTAATGTCGGGGAAATAGGGCCCAAACGAGAACTCAGTGATAACGTGGGAGAGATTCATGACTGATCAGATGCATGAGCAAGGGCTATCCAGAACAAGGGCGGACGCACGGTGATGGTCGACATGATCTCGGCTCGTGTACCCATGTCCGACTGTGGTTATATGCAGATTCGCTAAACAGACTGGTTAACACGGTTAAACATGCATGCGCTAGTTACGTACCGGTAACCTTCTTCGCGGTGATGGTGCCATAGATCCTACATGCGCTTCCGTCTTTTTGATAATTATAGGTCGGTCGATATTGGTTACTGTTTCGCCGAAAGAGCATTGAGAAGAAGCCGCGGGACTTGCGTGACTGAGCGACGGCCTGCTGAGCAGACAGCGCCGCAGCATGCTCCTTCAAAGACGTTGCTTGCCCAATGTCGAATTTCGTACCATCCCGACGAAACCCGCGACTCAAATATAGCCTGTCGCCAACAGCATCACGTAAATCGACGCTCAAGACTAAATTTGACACGTTAGCTATTGATCACATGCCAAAAGCATACAAGAAGGTATTCGAGACAATGCAGAGCAATCAAACGCACGGTGTTGGCGACGACGCACGTCGGTGCAACGTCCGGCAGCCGAAGTCACAAGCGACATGATAGCGGAAATAATTCCATGAACAGCGGAAAGCATTCATCCAAAGCGTACGAATGCGAGGATGCGAGACTTGCGAGACTTACATCGACATGGCATGTTGACGACGAGATCCACATTAATATTCAAGTCATTTGCGCTGTCCGTATCGACGCTGAACTCGTAATCAGGCCAGCCCCAGATATACTCTCCAAGATCATTCAGAATGAGCAGGAAGGCCACGATCGCCACGAAAAGAGTGAGAAATCCCCGAGACTCTGAGCGCGTCTTGTACGTGGAAGGCACCTTGGGGAAAGCGTCGAACTGAGCAAGCGGGGCGGGCACAATCTCATCCAGCTTGTCAAGAAGAGTAGGCGAGCCCGACCGTTCTAGTTCTTCAGCCATTTTGCAAAGGCCTGCTTTGACGATGGCTAGCCTGCCAGCACGACGAAATGGAGAATGTGCAGACGTCCAGTGGCGGCGTTTGAGCAGACGTGTTCCAATGAGGTCACGTGGTTGCCGCTTTCATGAAACGTCGGACTGTTTGGGGACCAGAGTGCTTATCGCAGTTCAACCTCAGTGTACGGCCTACATTCAACTCGACTGGCCTCTGTCTGTAGCGACTTTCTGGCTCCACTTAGGGCTCAATTTTCTGCACGGCAACTGTATATCGTTTCTGTTATCGACGACGATCGTCATCTGTGCTTGAGTCAGCAGCGATATTGTGTTGTGGTCGCATAATTTGCTTCAATTGAGATCCTTTTAATGGTAAGTCAGACCAGTGTACAAGCCTGCAACGACTCAACAGTTCTTTTTCAAGGCCCGTCCTCGCCGTGACCAAATGCAAGAAGATATCGATCAAGTTCACGAGCTCATGAGCTCATCGTCAGGCGTCCCCCTTCCTACGCCCACCACAGTATCATCCAGGTCTCCCCAGTCTCTCCGGGCGAGACCACGGTATACTTTCTCTTCTGCACCCGCCTCGGGCTCTGCTTCTAGCCCTCAGGCTAGCTCTTCATCTGTATCTCATGCCAGCAGAGCGACACCAGATGTCACCTCAGAAGCCGATGAATCACTTGCGATGGGTGGAACAAATCCTCCTGCTTCTTTATCCACTGTCTCGGAAATAAATCGCAATGTTCACGGCGAATATAGGCGGAAGCAACGGAGACTGGGGCATAGTTCAAATGGCAGTGCGTGTCCCGATATCAATTCTGGTTCATCATTCAAGAGTCCCGCAGGCTATGGCGGAGATGCCGAGACGGCTGAGACTGGAGACCTCAAAGTTCGATCCGGACACTTACCGCACATTAACCCGCTTGCCGCTGGTGTGTCAACACACGGAGCCAGTTTTACCATTTCACAGGACGCGCGGAGCATGCACACTGCGTCGACAGATGCAGTGTCAGCAGACTTAATACGATGCCTGAGTCCCTTAGTGGCTGAGGAGACGCCGATTGCTGGGCCCAGCCGGATTGAGGCTCACTACGAAGGACAGCAGGCAGAATCCAGTACTGTGACTCAGCATCATAGCGGCACAATCGATGCAGTCCTCATGCCGGAGAAGATAGGCTCAGGAGGCCATTCTGTGATGATTCCCTCAACTTCAGTAGGCGGGCCTATGGGAAGAGACGAAATCCCGCAGGCTGGTCTAAGTGTCTCCCATCCATCTTCGTCGAAGCGCAAGCGGGAGGCGACCATAGATACCCGAGAACAGACGCCTTCACAGGCGAATGAGCCTTTATCAGCATATACGTGCCCCATCTGCTTCTCTCCGCCGACGAATGCGACTGTCACTCCGTGCGGGCATATCTGCTGTGGGGACTGCCTCTTCACGGCTGTGAAGACGTCCATGCAACGTGCAACATTCTCTGGGCCGATGGGGGAACGGCTAGTCGCGCGGTAAGTTCATCTGGTGTCTGATGCTTTGCTTCCGCTGATGCTGTTCTGTACGACCTTGGGCGTTGCGACTGCATGTGATGAATCCCGATGGATGAATCACCCTTGTCGCCCATAAACTGCTCCGTCGACATCGGTTCTCCTGCAGCTGTCCCGTCTGTCGTGCTCCAATTGCGGGCTGGGATGGAAAGGGTGGTGGTGTAGTGGGGCTTAGGCCAAAAATGGTCTACAGTCTGTGAGCCCGAACTGCACGGCTTTATTAGACTTGATGGACGCGTGTCAATGTCGTGAATGGGCCATTATCTAGATTCGTTCCTTTTCGGAAGCTTGCCTCGTGACTGCGGAAAGACCCAAGAACATCAGTGGAACCTAGGTTGGGATGAACCTGTCAGTTCGTCAAAATTATCTAGCCCCCGTCGGCCCGACTCTCTGGCTGTCCTTGTATAGAGGGGCCCGCCTTTCAGGCAATATGAGCTCAAAGGTCATCCTTGCTTCGGGCAAAGGTCGCAATGCTAAGCTCCAGGACTGCCACATGGTGCTTGTCTTCTATGCTGAAAGTTGGGTCGGGTTTTCAAAGATGGCAGTTGATGCTGTCAAGTGGCATCTGCTTATGCGAACCATTCAACTTCCCGACAAAAGTTTAGTGGTCTTTCTCCGCCGCGTGTATCTGCAGAAGACAGAAGTTTGGTCCCTGTCACAAGTGGCCAAGCCGGAAAGATGAGACCTATATATGGCATTTCTATACCGACTTTGTTGAACAAATATGTAATTCGCAACACTATCCATCCGTGATTGGTGAGACTTTATCGCATTTGTGACAGCTTGTCTGACATTTGAGATCCGTGCAGATCAGTCATCGCATGGCACCGCGCGATTGAATTTTCGAACATCTCGTAAAGTCTGCTCCCAGGATTGTTGGGCTACTCGGAGCTGTTGACGTTCAGATTCTTATGCGTCGATCGAGAGCTATCTCAGAGCTCAGACTCCTCGCAGAAGCACCTAACTCTAGGCACAAAGCGGATGCAACCGAAGTCGTACATTGTGGTCTCATGCGTGACGCTCAGGTACGAGTTGTCATTTGACATGGGCCGTTTACAAAATACATGTAATCGCGGACGGGGCTTCGTGATTGAAGGAAGAACTAACCTAAGAAAGGCATTGACAAGTCTTCGATTGCACGGACAAGTGAGTTCCTGCCGGCAATCTTGGCAGTTCCGACGCTTACGCTCACGCGTCTTGTTGGGCATTATCCCCGACTTCCCTGATGACCTCGTGTTGCACACCACTATCCAGCCATCCTACTCGATCCATCATTGACATAAAAGATATGCACAGCTTACTTAGTGCTCGGCCAAAGCTTCCCGACCGAACCATGGACCGACCCCTCCCCTTGTGCGCCTATGCAACCTCATTGTTCAGCTTAGCATGTGCAGTGCGAGTCCCGTTCTTCATGCGTTTGTATCAAGTGGATCCGCCGCTCTTCGAAGTATTGCGCTAGTTCGTTGCTGTCCATTGGCCTCATTCTCTTGGGGACCTCTTCTGGCCACGTAATCTCCTGGATAACCGGAAGAAGGTGACAGAAATATCAAAGTCAATATCACACGGTGCTGTTTGCGGCCATGTATCGGCAGCACATATCGAAAACAGCCAGCCCTGGACCAAATGACCGCCACAGGCTTATCGTTCCCGCCCACATGAGCATTACGACATGATACGTCGGTCACCTTACCATGCAGCGACTGTTATACAATTGTCCGGTCCCGAATAAGCGACCTCATCACGTCGTGACCTCGGCTAGCGACGTGTATCCTCAATTACCTAATGATGCCATCTTCTCTGCCAAAAGCTCCTTCTCGACGCACAAAGCACCGTCACTGCTGTATGTCGGATGAAAACCCAGCCTCCCACTCACCGGCTGGCACGTTCCGCAGGCTTCAGGTTCCTGCACCAAACATCATGCAAAGTTTAATCTCTGAACCTCTGTCGGTTTATTTTTTGCATCCACTGCGCGGGCACTGTTGGCGTCATGGTCTCTATTCGTACAGCGAGACAAGCACACGTTTGAGCTTCTGATTGCCCGCCAAGTACGGATGAACCTGCCGCAGACTCTAACCGCGGGGGATTAGGTCAGCTTCGATTTCCTTTGCGTCAGCTCATTTTGCAAGCCGCCTTCGATTCATTGTATTCAGAAGCTGCCGATGCTAGGCCGTGTCATGCGATTAAAGATGTCCCTTGGTCAATGTCCGGCCGCCGCTTTGAACATCAATGGACGACTGGCCGAATCGAGTTCAATCCGCTTGTCGTCTGTGTCTCTTTGATTTAGTGCCGTGATTATGTCCATGAATGCCGGTATATTTGTGCTATCATCCTGAATAATTCTACGTAATCATCCACTGAATGTCGCATCTTCGATCCGCAGTCCCTTCGCCACAGCCAACGTGCTGCCACATGTGCAAGGAGTTTATCGGCCGCAAATATGTCGGAACATCGATGTGATCTTAGAGAGACCAGGTTTCCGTACGTGGTGCATGAACCTCGTGCTAGTGGTTCCGGGGCTGATAGATAATCAACGCAGGTGGAGGCACGTACGTTTCCTCCTGATGTGTTTGATGCGTGTCCGTCAGCGCTATATCTTGTCGTCAGCGAGATCAGCCAGTTTCTCTTTGGCGTCGGATGAATAGCCGCTGTATAGCAAAGATATCATGATGTGCAAGACTTGAAGCTGTGCCGCCGGGCCGGCCAAGGCTGTATAATTCGCCGGATTTTCTCGTCACATCATCGCGCTCGAGGCTTCCGACGGTACGATCATACGCGACATGCCGTTCTCTTGCTCCGTTACCATGCAACTGAACAATCGGGATCACACTTCAGGGTCTTTTGATGTTTTTGTTGACCTCAGCTATAATCAGGGCGACGATGAGAGTCCAACACTTCAGTCAAGAAGTGTCGCGCTAGAAGTACGACGATGCTGTTCGCTGTCATAGAGAGAGGTTCCATTTATACTCATATCAAGGTGGCACCAGACTTCTGCGGCGGCATCAAACCCTCTACTGGTGAGTCCATCATTCCGGGAACTAGCTGTCACACTGATGCTGTGCATGCAACACCCATGCAGTGTGTGGATAGATGCCAACAGGATATGAAGACATCATTTCGGCATGTTGCCAACCTGGGGCTCTCGGATCAGTTGCTACCCAGCGCATGCAAACCTTGACGAGCGACGAACCCACGACAGGCATCTTGAAAAGCCACCGATCCCAAAATTGACTTATAAGGCAGTTTTTGATGCTGTGAAAAATGCGGAGGCGATTTGATGTCGCGTTAATTCGAGTGCCAGCTGAAGCACGTTCCCTCCCATTGATGCGGGAGCGTTTGGACAAATCCGTTCATGTACAGGTTGTCAAACTCTGAGCCATTACTATGACATTCCCTTGATTGATTGCTCAGCTGCTTCACGACTGGAACGGTGCAAGTGCGTGGGCTGTGCATTATCTCTTGTATTCAGAGTGCCGCAAAGAATCTCAGAGGCCCGCTTTTCTCCCACCGACACAAAGCTGTTCATGCGGGCATCACCCGCGTAATCGTTCCATACGAAAGATAGTATAATCCCGCGGCATGACCGAACTTACATCTTCCTCGCGGACCCATATGCTGACAGACGACCTACCGTGGCCCGAGCTGGGCAACGTTTCTCGCGGAGCTACGAGAGGTAATCAAGGGCAAAAGGGCATTCTGGGGCCTCCAGACGCCGAGGGCCGATGCGTGTTGCAGCTCCGAGTGCAGCCTGGTGTTCTCGCTGTACGTCTTAACCGCAAAGCAAGCGATTGGTATCGTCTACTTGACGGCGAAGTCAACCGTGCGCTGAAGCTGACAAAGACGTACTGGAGGAAAGCGAGACGAAGGCAAGATTACGATGCCCGGGCCGACCAAGACCACATGGAACTGCACGAGTGGCTTCAGCAGCTCAAGGACAAGGTCATGTCGCACCTGGAGTTGCTGATGCAGAAGGGAGAGATACAAGGTCCCCCTTACCTCATGGCTGACCACCTTGAGCTTACGTTTTTGCGGAAATTCATCGAGCGACAAGCGGCCGGGATCCCGCATAACCCTCGTCTTCGACGGAACTATATCCACACGGCGACAGCAGTGTCAAATTTACAAACGTTCCAGGGTCAAGGCGAAGCGTCGACTAGTCACAATCAACCCGTTGCAGTTTGGGATGAAGGAGACCGAAGTGAGTAAGCTCTTACCTTTATCAAGCCTCAAGGCTCACCAGCCGCTGCAGTTGATCACGATCAGGGCTCTACCATCTCGACAGAGCCAGTGGATGGAGACAATATGCGGTCCTTGCTAAATGACATGGAAACTAGTCGTGAGTCTTTAGATTCCGCAACAGACTTCTTCGATGCTTATTAAGGCCACAGGTGTGGCTTTAGCAAAAGCACGGGCGGAGCTGACTCGTGCCCAGAGAGAGACCCAGGAGGCATTCAGAAGATACACAGCCTGTCTGGAAGAGGAGCAACAAGCTCGTCAACGCGTTACAGGCATTGAAGAAAAGCTTGACATTTTCAGTATGTCTGCTTTATAAAGCCTAGCATCGTTGTTCTCAACCTTGGCGCAGCATCTAGACTTATGGAACTCTATCGAGGCGAGTATTCAGAAGGTAACCCCAAGCGGTAGTTCGCCCACAATCTATCTATCGCTCACCAGAGGCTTAGAAGCTCCCGCTAGGTCTCCACGAGGCGGCGATAACTACGCCGACCCTCAAGTTCCGAGGTCTGAATCTGCAGCAAGCACGAGCAATTCACAAAAAGGCACTGCGAGTGCTATGTATGTACTCTCCTGGAGACACGGGTTACCGTGGCTGAACTTAGCATAGGCTCAACAGCGTCAATCTTCCCGATACCGCTGGTAGCTGGAGAGACGCCCGACAGGCACATTGGCCCCAAGTCATAGATGCACCGGATCTCATGCAAGCTCAAAGTGTGAGTATGATGCAGCGGGTGAGTGCTAGCCGGAAAACTGTGAGGATGGCAAGATCTTAACATCGGGGTAGCAGGTTATCGGCGCATCGTCCCGAGAACACGATATGCAGGTTGACCCTCTTGGTCCTGATCCAGCTCGCAAGCATCCCCGCGGCTGGGATAATATGTCAGGTGCGCATCTACTTTACGCTTCGATCATACACTTACTACCTTCACGACGAAGTAGCGCGAGATGCATTTGAGGTACATGAAACTTTCGAGTTGAGATTCGGCCACTTCTCACGTTCAACGAGCTATCAGGACGTATCCTCCTTGCCGCCCCTGAAGCGTCACCAAATGCCAGGGAACGTTATGGGAACCCCCTCTGACCAGCTGCTTGCGTCTGGCCTCCGTCAGTCAGGTGTGGCCCCGGATCTGCAGCGAATAGATCACACTACGGGCATGTTGCTCAACCCGCCTGGTTCTCACCTAGGAAACATGTAAAAAGCCCCCTGACCATCACGTCATTAACTTATGAGTATTGCTACGAGTTATATTCTACTGATCTATTCCGCTATTGTCGCTGTATCGTATTTCTATGTACATAGTGCTCGGTGCCTAGGAAGCGGCTTCTGGTCGTTATCATCTCGTATCTAATATGACGGCAGTCTCCAGACACTTGAACTGAAAGTGCAAGCTTCCCTGAGCTGTCGCCCGGTGAGAGTCAAGTCCTCCCAATTTGGCAAGGCGGCATGGATTTACTGGTAAGAGTAGCCGTCGGATGCGCCAGGATGAATATATATCGCCAGCATTCATATCAGAGAGTCCTCTCGACTGACTACACATATAGGGACCATCGACTCTTCCAAGCTGCCTGTCTTGCGAGCTCCGGGAGCATGCCACACCTTCGCTGCAAGTCACTCACTCCGGACAAATCGGACTTGCTCCTTCGGCCACAAAAACCGGGAATATCACATCCGAGCCCGGCCGGCGCCACACGAGAGGTTCAAACTGTGACCGCAGAGAATTTTCTCTGATACGAGAAAGCAAAGGCGGTACGGGCAGAGCAGGTGAAACGTTGGATCGAAAGGTAAATCGTGATGCGAGAGAGGTGTCCTAGGATGATCGACGATGGCGACGTCTCCTGATCGACGTCTTCCATGCTCTTCACGCGGTGAAGTACGCCGTGTCATTCGCGTTCGAACGAGGATGCTTTGGTGGACAAACGGTTTTCTCGCTCGGCGTGGTCACCTCGAGCTCACCTCGTTGGGTGCGCGTCGTTGGCGCTGGCGGTGCCATGGCGCGGGCCACGCGTCTCTGGTGAGTTATACTACGGAGGAGAGTCATGCCCAGGCGAGGTGTGCTGAACACCGCATTGCCTGACACACAGCACTAGTTCAACTTTTGCCGGCGGACACGGGGTAAGATTCAGTCCGATTGCTTTTTACGTAAGCACTTTTCTTACGTGTGTCTGCCCGATTAGGCATCCAGTCAAGCTCGTGTCTAAAGCATGTTTGTAGCGTTGGCAGTGCAGTTTATAATGAGCCTCTAGGCAAATTCCTCCCCGGTCCTTGCTCTGCGGATGGCTGTCCAGAAGCCCCCATCTTCCTTCAGTTATGATTTTTTTCTGTCCGCTATGCCGGGTGTCTTACGCTCGGGCTATCCACCACCGCCACATCCTCTGCAGCTCTTAATCCCGTGATGCTTTACACTATTGTCTTCTCCGGAGCTGCTCATATGGACCACGGGCCGCTTTGACAACCACTTCTACCACCCTGGACTACGGAGCTGTGGCTTTTGGCAACTTTCGCGTGTCGGGCACGTGCAAAGGATATTTGAGCACTTAGACCTTGTTCCTTTTCACACATATAAGTGGCAAGCGCTCCGGAGCTCCTCTGTCATTTTCTTCGCTTTTCTCTTGCATGTCCGAGATGGCTTCACGACGAGATCGGTTACGTGGTGCGTCTTTTTGATCATTCTATGTGGCGATTCTGTACTCACTGCAGAGCGTAGGCAAGCTATGCAGAAATTATGCCCTCGGCCACTGCCCGCAGGGAAATCAGTGTAAATATGTTCATCCGAATTCGCCCCCAGCAACGTCGGCTTTTCCTCCTCCTCAGTATCAGTGGCCTCAGGTACGTTTGAGATAGCCACATATCCGGATTCTTAGCTGAGGGACCATCCATTTACACCACTTACGCGTATCAGGGATACCCAACTCCTCTATCGACAACAATGCGGTTCCCAGTCTCTGGACCGTGGGTGACGTGGAACCCACAGCACCAGCAAATGCAAGGACGACCATGGGAGGGCACAGGTGGCCACAGCATGGTTCAACCAGAGCGCCCCGCTTCCATCTCTCAATACAAGCCGCTATCGTGGAGGACTGCGTTGTGCAGGCACTACACGAAGAATCGGGGATGGTGTCCGTTGGGCGACGAATGCAATTAGTAAGGATCCCGATTTGTTAATCGTCAATTTTTTTTTCACTAACACATGTTTCTTCGACAGTATACACGATTTGAAGCTCGCGGATCTCGCACTCGAAGACGCTCGATTTTCTGGTGGCAAGCGCGACGCGGCCACGTCCGATCAGCAGGGGTCGGCGGGCTCCAAGCAAAGCCACTGCTGGGCATACGTGCAAGGACTCTGCCACGTCAAAGACTGTCCTTATCTTCACCCGATAGCGGTCGATTTGTGTGCGTACGCCCTCCACTCATTATCCTCACTCATCTCATCTCACCGACCTCATCTTCCACACAGTCATTCGCCACACACCTTGCCTGGCATGGCCGAACTGCACCAAAGGTGCTCTTTGCCCTTACAAGCACCCAGAGCCGATCATCCCCAAAGTACACGCACTCCCCATGTCTCCGCAGTCGACCACGAGCGTGCACCCGCCCACCCCCGCCAAACCCATCCTCTCCGGCGCCGTGCAGTACCACGGCACGACCTACTTCCCACTCCAATCGCAAACTTCGCAGTCCTCTCAGGCCACGAGCGCAGGGCCCATTTCGCCCCAGGACCCGCGAGCGCCGTACCACATGTTCCCGATAAACGGCCAGGTCTTAGGGTCGCCTCCCTCAGGCTGGCCATACCCGTCTCCCATCTCCCCCATCGCCATCCACGCCGCTCCTTCCTATCCCGTTCCGATCAACCCTGCGTACCCATATGGTTCCCCGCCCTGGCACGAGCGCATGGTGCTAGGGTCTCCGATGGGCCAAGTCGCGCCGGGGTTCCCCGGCTGCGAGCCGTATCCATCGTACAGCGGCGCGAACTATGAGTATCACCACCTGCCTGCCAGCAGCTTCCCCGCAGATGATCATGTAATGTATCAAGCTGATCCGTCGCTACCGCGCGGCGCGCTGTTTCCTGGGCAACCCCAGGAGAGCGTTCCTGAAAGGTACAACATCCCTCGGTCCAGCGTCGACTACCATCCCGTTCTCGAGCACGCACCGTCCCACACGGTCCCCGCAGCACACGAAGAGTTGCAATTCCCTTATGCTCCGCGGGAGACGCAGGGCGGCGGACCCGCGACTCGAAGGCGAATCAGCGTGGCGCTGAGAAGCAAGGAAGACACGGACGCGTTGGACGTGTCGACGCACGGCGAGCGCAGGGCGAGCTGGCAGACGCATGGAACGCACTGCCATCACAAGGCGAGATCGCTCTCACCTTCATTCGAGAGACGTGCTCACTGATCCCGTTGGCTTCGCAGAGCTGGGCAGCTGCCTCGTCGTCCGCCCGCTATCTATAAGCGACGGCCTAATTCGCAGTTGGTATCATGAATGGGTTCCGGAACTTCAATCTGCCTGTCTCATCGAACTCGATGGATGTAAAAATACACGTTTTTTGTTCTCTTTTCTTTCTTTTTCTTTCTTTTTCACTTCATTTCATTTCCTTTCGGTCTCGACTCATGCTTTCCCCGTCCTAAACAAAGAACCTTCCTCGAAATAAGTCGTACTAGTGTTTCTGTTTCTACCATGTACCGGACAGATACCTCCATCATCCATCCACAGTTATCACACATTTCATCTTGGAAAGGACCTGGCCAACCACGTTTGCTTGTAACGCACTCACTCTACTCTAGCTGTAGCACCCCCCGTACTCATACCGTTCCTGGATCCGTCGCTGACCTGCATGTATCTCCCTGCACGCTACCGCAACCGCTAATGCAACGACCCCTCCACGAGACTCCCGTATTGTCCAAAAGGCGATGACTCGCTCGCTGCGGATGATGTGCCTCGAGGCATACCCCGAGGGCACCGCGCGTTCCACTCCCGAAATGAATTCACCATGCGGCGTCTGACAATACCAACACGCACGGCGCACTACTAATGCGCACTCGCCCCACTAGACCCACGAGCACACGTTTCACGCTGCAAGATAATACAGGATATATCGATAGCGGCCACCGTATGCCGGTGCCCACGAGAAGCACTATGATACAAAGGGAACAGAATGCAACGACCCGATAAACCTGATAATGTTATGAGTAAATGGGTGTGACCCAGACCACGCGATAACTTCCGATCCAGGGACTGCG